TGGTCGGAGAAGATCAGAAGGCGATGCAGACGGAGATCGACAAGCAGCGAAACCTCTTCACGGTGCTCTACTACCAGGAGGAGGAAGGGGACTTGGAGGGACCGCGTGGGGAGGAGGACATGGAGCTTGACCCTGCGGGAGACGATGAAGCAGTTGAGGAGGAAGAGGAGCCATCTCCAGATGATGGGGAAGAGTGGCTGAAGAAGATAGAGAAAGAAGAGGACTTTGAGGTCCGGCAGCTCACGCTGGTGGAGATCGTGAAGACGAGAGGAGAAGCTCTGGAGGCCGTGGCCAAGATGACCACAAAGCTACGCTATCATGGACTACCTGTCCGGCGCCTTCACAGCGATAGAGCAGGCGAGTTCACGTCCAAGAGGGCCAAGAAATGGGCTATGGAACGCCTCATCATGCGGACGTTCACTGACGGCAGCTCATGGAAGATGAATGGGCGGGCCGAGGCGGAGGTGGGGTTCATCAAGAGGCTGACCAAGACGCTGCTCAAGGGCTCGGGCGTGGAGGAGAATCTATGGCCGTTGGCGGCACGGCATGCTGGGGAACGAAGATGGAGGTCGCAGCTGGAGGCCATGAACTATCCGGTCAAGCCGTTGAGGGCGTTCGGGAGTGTGGCAATGGCGAAGACCAAGGCATGGAATCACCGGTCCAAGGATTGGGAGGCCACCAGGGAGGAGGTGACCATCTTGGGGCCGGATGTTACTATGTCGGCGTCTTCGGGAGGGTACTTCGTCCAGGGGGAGGATGGGAACTTCTTCCACACCACGGATGTGATTGAGACGGAGGAACCGCCTGAAGAGGAAGGGCCACTTGCTGGTGGTGCTGGAGCAGAAGATGGATGGCCAAGAGGAGGTGGTCCACGGAGGAGGATTACATCCAAGAGGCCGCCTGCGTTGGAAGATCGAGAATGGGAGCCAGACCTGAGGACCTTGGTGATGGAATGTCAGGCCCGGGGGAGGCACATGATGGAGGAGGAATGGCGTCTAGAAGAGGAACAAGGCGCTGACCACGACATGGTGAAGAAGACCGTCGGGATGCTGGCGGAGGAGGACGCTCGAGTGGGGGCATGGTTGGCGGCAATGCAGAGGGCTGAGGATCTTGACTCTGAGGAGACCTGTGCGAGAAAGGCAACAGAAGAAGAGGTCTTTCTTCAGACCAAGACCTACGCCTTGGCAGATGTGAGGAAAGAAGTGGAGAAGTGGAGGCCTTCTATGGTAGAAGAGAGGGCGGCTTTGCTGAACTCGGGCGTGATCCGGGCCATCAATCAGCGGGAAGCCGAGGCGCTCAAGAAGGAGGCGCTGGAGAAGGGCATACCGTACGACCGGGTTCCGGGGAAAGCGGTGTTCACAAGGAAAGCTGCTACAGGACGTCGGAAATGCCGTGGGGTCGCCTGTGGAAACTTCATGTCGGAGAGGCCTGCGGCGGACACCTACGCTGGAGGCATTGACGCGTCTCAAGTGAGGGCGATGGTGGCGGCTGGAGCGCAGCGAGGATGGACTCTTGCGGGGGTCGATGTGAAGACGGCGTTCTTGCAAGTGCCGCCGGGCCGGTCCAAGGACATTGTAGTGGTCAACCCTCCCACCATCTTTCAGGAGTGCCAGATCACTGAGCCGGGAGAGCTTTGGGCGGTGGAGGGATCCGTTTACGGCCTTACGACGTCACCCAAGGACTGGGCGAACCACCGGGACGAAACCATGGGCGCGATCAACTGGGAGATGGAAGATGACGAGGGCACATGGGCTTGCTGGTTCGAGAAAACCAAGGAGGTGAATCTGTGGAGGATCAAGAGCAGTCGGCACGGACAAGATGAGACGGTGGGCTACATGGCGGTCTACATCGACGACCTGTTGATCACTGGAGATCGCGGGGCGGTGGCGGCGACGCTGCTCAAGATCCGGCGGGTTTGGGACACCAGCGACCCGGAGTGGCTGTCGGAGACAGAGGACCTGCGGTTTTGCGGGTTCGAATTCTCTCATGATGAGCAAGGGATCCGGATGCATCAGGAGTCCTACACGGCAGACCTACTGGACCGGCATCACATCGCCAAGGGTGGCACGCTGGGAGGAGTGGGGATTCCGGAGGAGGAAGGGCCCCCGAGTCCTGAAGATGTGCGGCAGGCGCAAGTCATCACTGGAGAGCTGTTGTGGCTTTCTTCGAGGACGAGGCCGGACATCACCTACGCGGTAGCCGTGATGGGACAGTGGACTACGAAGAGACCTCGGGGGGTCACGAGGATTGGAGAGAAGGTGCTGCAGTACCTGTGGAGGACGTCACGGGAAGGTTTGCGGTACCAACGTCTTGGTGCTGGAGATTATGGGCCGGACCATCAACAGCATCGTGAACGTCGACGAGATGCAGTGGAGGCCTACGCGGATGCTTCTTTTGGAGCCCATGAGCACAAGTCGATCTCGGGATTGGCCGTGTACTACTCCGGCTGCCCCGTCTTCTGGGCTACGACGCGACAGGCGTGTATTGCGCTTAGTACGGCGGAAAGCGAGCTGGCGGCGCTCATTGAAGCCTGGACGGCTTTGAGGGGAGTTGGTGGCTTGGTGGAGGAACTGGAGGAGAAGCCCGCGGAGCTTAGGCTCTACAGCGACAGTAGTGCGGCCCTGGCCATTGTCAACGGGAGCTCGGGAAGCTGGAGGACGAGACATTTGAGGATCCGGGCTGCGGCGCTTTCGGAGGCGGTCAAGCTCGGTGATGTCCAGCTTCAACATGTTCCTGGGCAGAGTCTGGTCGCGGACGGCTTCACGAAACAGCTTGGGGCCTCGCCGTTTGGGCGCTTCAAGGAGTCATTGGGCTTCTATGGTGGGGCGGTGGAGAGCGGTGAGAGCCCGGTGGAGGTTGTCAAGGTGAAGAAGATGGAAAGCAGTCGAGACAGGAGGTTGGAGAAAGTCCTGGGATTGCTGGTGGTGGCCTCTACATGCGTGGAGCTGACGGAGGCGAAGGAGATGGACCTTGGAGAAGAAGGAGGTGGCTACTGGTGGCTGGTGGTGATCGTCGCTGTGGTCATCTTGCTGAAGCTGGTCAAGGAGCTTGGAGTGGTGGCACTGCGGAACTGCTTGCGAAAAGAGGAAGAGCTGCGGTTCCAGAGAACCTGTGCAGAAGCGGTGATGCCGGAAAGGCCAACGGAGAGCTCAGCCGGGGTGAACCTTTTCGCGGTAAACAGAGTGGTGGTGCCGGCGGAGAGCTACACGCTGGTGAGGACGGGCGTGAAGGCACAGTTACCCCGAGGAACGTGCGGGAGGATCACAACGGTGGCCAGCTTGGCTTTGAGAGGAGTTGAAACGGGATCCGCTGTCATTGAACGCGACTTCCGTGGAGAGGTGAGGATTTTGGTCAGGAACCATGGACCCCAGGACTACGTCATCGAGCCGGAAGAGGCGGTAGCGCAATTGGTGCTGGAGAAGGTTTCCCTGGCCAAGATCAAGGAGGTGAAGGAGTTAGACGGGCCTGTGAAGAAGCAGACAGAGGAGGTTGGTCCTTCGGTGAGATCGTTGGTGGTCGAGAAGGCGGGTGCTTCGTCAGGGAGATCGTCTATGAATTGGATGACGCCGGAGGTGAAAGGCTTTGGGAATGTGGGTGAGGGGTTGCGGCTGCGAAAGGTTGCACCAGCCGGTGGTGGAGATGGTCCTCCGGAGGTGACAGAAAGGCCATCGCAGGATGAACCTGGTGAAGATGAATGGGAGGTCGAGTTCCGCGAGAATGAAATTAGACTTTCCCGCATTCACATGGTGCCGCGCTACTGGGACTACATTCCGAGGCCTAGAGAGCTTCCACCCGGCATCAACTTTGAGGACTTGGACTACATCAGGATCTCCGAGATCGCTCCGGACGCTGAGAACGGCATGACCTGGGAGAGGATGGTCGAGAATTGGCAAGAAGAGCACTGGGAGAGGAGGACGCCATGGACGGGGTCTTCAAACTTCAGGGTCTTGAGGCGGCCCGAAGCCGGAGTGAGGAGCTCGAGTTCAAGTGGTCCGGGGCAACAACCTCCTGGGAACGGAGGAGGTGGAGAATCGGGATCAAGGCCCTCTGGTTTTACGGGAGGGGATTCCTCGGCGATTGGATCAGGGACATCGGCATCTACCGGAGGTGGTGGCGGTGGCATTGATGGGGCGGCAAACAAGCGGCCTAGGACGCATGGAGAGGAGATGATCTCGCGGCGAGTTGTGGGCGGTTCGAGTCAGAACATGCTGGAGATCATGCGGCGCGCTTTCTTTCAGGACCTTGAGGAGAGCGCGGTGGTCATGTTGTCCCATCCGCCTAAGGGGACACGGGACGAGTGGATTGAGGTGCCCCTTCCTGGCCTTGGAGAGATTGGCATCCAGGTTCACAGGAAGGAGCGCGTGAAGCTCTTCGACACGGAGAAGGAGGGCTACGAGGGAACGAAGCGCACCATTGCCTGGTCCGTTGGAGGAGGGCTGTGGGTGGATCTGTCGCCCCGGAAAGGGCGGCGCGAGAAGTTCGAGAAGGGCAAATGGGTGGGCTACACCATCTTCAAGAAGAGCTGAGGGGTTTGAGCAGGTTCTTTTTCCGGGTGAGACCCTTAAAAGAAGGGGGAGCCCTGATGTTTGAGTTGCGGATGGAATCACTGGGCATGACAGCCCCTTTTTGGCCGAAGAAGGAAAATAGCCTGCAGTTAGTTGAGTGGAAACAATGCACAAGGGAGACAAGTTCATGGTGCATTACCACTACACGTGGATGATCTGGAGACAGAGTCTTTGAGAAAGAGAGCGTGGCCAAACTGAGAAAAGGTTTCCTGGCTGGGTAGGAAGACAAGAACGACTGCCTCTTTGTCGGACAGCACGTCCGGTGGAAAAAGGATGAAAAGCATGCGTGGTATATCAACGACCCACTAAAACCTGACTGGAAAACCATTTCCTCTTGAAGGGATCTTGCGGCTCGTTCCCTGTTAGTGGCTGCCAGAATAGCCTCCTCCCCCCCCGCTTGAAAGCGATTGGCGCTTGACGCTCCCACGCGCGCGCCTGCACAGTTCCAGGCAAACTGCGACGCAGCAAGTGGAACCAGTTTGGAAGCTGCCACACCACCTGCCGAGACTTGCGAGGCCTGAGACACCATGCCCGAGCCTGAACTCATGGGCGCTGGGGGGGAGGGAGCAGAGGGGGGAGGGAGCCCAAATAAGCCCTTATTAATCCCTTAATAAGGCCTTATTTAGGGCTTATTTGGGCTCCCTCCCCCTCCCCTCCCTCCCCCCAGCCCCCATAATGAACAGTCCCCGCGAAGGAAACTGAAGCAACATGGGGCCATGGGCCTCAACTTGTCTGCTCTTCATTCATTTTTGCGGCTTGTGGCTAGTCCGCCAAAGCATCGCACAGCGAAAGACGCGCGCACACCGACACAAAGACACAGACACACACAGACCCACACACACACACCCACACAGACAGGCCTAGCATTGAAGTACAGGGTCACCCGAATTGGATCCTGAAGATCAGCAATGTTACTCCTACATTACCTTTTGGTGGATGGATCTTCCATCGTGCAAAGCCCACCCTAAGCTCACAAGAAACTTGTCGCCCGCGCATCTGGCTAAGGTGGAACCATCCCATGGACCTGCGCTAGGCATGTTGTGAGAACCCCAAGATTGGAGTTTCAAGAAGGCCAACGCTTCAAATACCAAAAACAACTGACTGGCCCCACTCTACCATCAAACTCAGCCCCCCAAAGTGGTAAAGGAGGAGTCCCGGTTTTCTGGCTTTGATATCCACAGAAACAGCTAGAACCATTTTTGCCCCTGAGGGTGCCATCCCGGCCACTCTCGCGAGCCGCGCACCCCGATGAGATTCTGCAGCAGCCCGGAGGGCGGGCGCGGGCCCTCGCCTGGTCGCGTTTGAACGGTTTTTCTCGCCCAAATCGTTTGGTCTCAGACGGATGTTCGCCTCTTGAAGTCATTGCACAAGCAAATTAATGTCATTGTGCAAAAAACATGAAGTCATCACATTGGCAAGTTGAAGTTGGTATACAAGCTTTCCACTACACTTCCAATTTCTGAAATCAGAGACTCCCAAGTAAAGGACGCTTGTTGGACGGGCTGCCCCAAGCAAAGGCAGAAGCGGACCAGTTCATGTCACAGTGCAAAGCGACAAAACACGGAAGGCCTACTGTACGTGAAAAGGGAGTGCCACCACGGGATGAGCACTGTGTACTGCGCAGCGCCCGAAGGTGCGCATAGCACAAGGGTGATGGTATTCGAAGGGTGTACGAGGCCAGCCAGCTTCACACAGGCTTGCGGCGAAGGCAACGCAATGCAATCTCATTCAACAAGCAACGGCCGGACGGGGACTGGCCCAAAGCATTTTACTAAAACCATTTAATCGACGTCATGGCAAGCTCGTTCTTACTATAGGTAAGCTGGCCACAAAAAGGCAGATTAGAAATGGCCAAGAAATGGGCCACATGGGTGGGGTCAAAAATAGGTACCCAAAATGGGTTGCCCTGGTAAATGGAAACAAAGACTAACACCTGCGGTCCAATTCCTGGTGGTTTAATTTTGACCCATACCCACATGGAGGGATGGCCCTGGCGGTGCATTTGTTTCAGAAACGGCAACATTTCCCCTCCTTTGTGACAACACAAGTAAGGTCGCATCGGCGCATATCAAGGTCCCAAGAGGCGCGCAAAGGAACGTCTGGGCTGAACTGTTTTTTTGTTGCGGGGTGCAGAGTCATGGTTCCTGAAAGAACCTCAACCTGGCTCATGAGGCCGGGCGCATGTGAGCAACCCCTAAGCCAGCAACCCCCAGCTGCCGTTTCCAATAAATAAAGATGCGCTTCTCCGGTCCCCCGCGCCGGACAGGTCACATGGGATCTCAAAAGACGGGAGTTCCAAGGGACAGACAAAATATGGGAACCACCCTTGACTTGTTCCTTGTTTCTTTTTCTTCTTGGGGGGGACCAAATAATTTTGAGAACTGCCCCATGGTTTCATGGCAGGCCCTTAGCCATACCGGTGACCTCGTCAACCATATCCGGTCTGGTCTCTTGAAACTACTGTCCCAGTTGCTCTCTTGAGGTGCCGGAGGCGGGAGTTTCTTCCGACCAGCCCAAAATGGATAGGATGGAGCCCGTGTCGCAAGCAGTGAGGGCGCCTTATACTTCCGTTGCCCTCCCTCCAACAATCATGGAAGCTGACAGGCGGGCTTTGCAGGACTACTTTCCTTTTGGGGAAGCCCCCTGTCTACTTCCATGATTGTTGGAAAAAGGGTATTTCCCTTTGGCACGGCGATCAATCTGTCTTAAACCTTCTTGAAACCTACGTCTAGGAGAACAAACTCCGATTGCTCTCGTCGGCGACTGCCACAAGCAAATCGGCATTGTGCCATGCTGCAACATCCACGTCACTCGCTGAAACATCCAGCATCTAATAGTTAGTCTAACATTATCAGGCCTCTTGCTTGGTTTCTGTTCACCCTCTCCGCAAAAAGTTTCACTTTGCGTTGGTCCAATGAAGACAATCCTCTGTTTCCCAAATATAGTTCGTCCAAAGATTCCACCAAATCGCCGTAAGGCCTAAGAGACCCCGGACGCCTCTCCTGTCTCCTTGCCCGGCCTTGGGCTTTGCGTGGGCCTTGCGCGGCTGCAAATGCCAAAGGGTTTCATGAAACTCGTCGCCCCGAGTTCAAGGGATCCACCAGCTTCCCAACCTGCATGTAACCTGTTGCCCACTCGGTGTCCCAGTCAAATCATTTGTGACCAACGAGCGGAAGCAAACAAATGTGGCCCGGGGGCCTCCAAACTGAGAACACAAACCAGCAGGGAAGCGCGGGCATCAAGTGTATACAAACTTGAATTCGACATAGATGGACATCGTTTAAATGAGGATGTGTGCCCAACCATCCCAAACAGTCTTCAGATCGCCGCACAGTGTTGCCCTGCAACAATCACACATCCACAACCAAGGACACACCAAGGGCAGGAACCTTGGCAGCTCGTCTTTTTGAGGGTACGCCCTTCTTTTGTGGTTTTAAAGGAGGACCAGGAGCAAAATCAATCATTCCATATTGGGCAGTCCCTAAAAATATCTGAAAGCAGCGCTGTGAGCGCTGAGTTTGTCCACATCGCCGCAAAAAGGCAACAACTATCCATGCGGCGGCTCACCCCATCAGTTCCAAGGGTCAGCACAAATACTTGCATTTGTTTTGTACCAAATCCGTGATGATAAGACACATCTTGGAATGGTCGTCCCAAAACATCTGGTAACTTCTGTCGGATCTCCCCCGAAGATGGTCTTTTGAGAAAAACGGAGTGGCCGGTTTGTACCATTTACCTACTGGTTGAAGCAGCACTTCATGTCGGACCGACCAAATCACTGCCCTAACACCGCGAGACACGGCCAACCGCCACATAGACACCGCTCCAACTGAGATAAAAGTTGCTCATGCGGCAAGTCCGCCCCGAACCTCCCCACGACTTCGTAAAGGTCATCTGGCCACCGCTGGATCTTCTCGCGCATGCACCCACTTCCGCGGTAGTAATCACTGTTCCATCACCGCAGTCGTAGCTCCGAAGCTGGACGCTGGACACTCGACAGAAACTGTAATCAAAACCCGGAAATAGAATGGTCGATCCCCAGAAAAAGCAGTAAGGAGGCGGATTGTCCCTTACTAACCGGATCATCTCCCCGTGTTTTGAGCCAGTGGTTCAATTGGCTCTTAGCTGCGAGGCCTTCGAGGGCTTGACAAGCTCGGGCCACCAAATGCTGCCGAGAATCTGGCCACCAAAGTCTGGAATGAAAGGAACCGTCAAGATCTTCAACTCCATCATGCTGCCATCATCCCCAAATAACAGAGAGAGAGAGAGAAAGAAAGAAAACCAAACACACACACACAGAGAGAAAAAAAGAAAAAACAAAACAAAAAAGAAGAAAAACAAAACGCACGACCATACAAGCTGCGTGGGGGAAGACAGGGGCACATCTCGCGAGCGGCTTTGTTCCGGCTTTGCTAGAGAGCAAACGGATCAGAAGCTACGATTGAGACGGCATTGTCACATATTGTGGCAATGACATGCGTATGCTGTGGCACTGACTGCATATATCAAAACTCGGTTGCGTTCTGCTCCCCTAAAAGTGACTAACTTTTGGTGGTTTAATACGGAAAACCCATGAGTTGGCAAAAAGATAAAGTCCTAACATCCAAGCAAAGTGCCCCAAAGTGCCAAAGAGAAGCTATGTTTGGCATCCAACCGTGGCTGTCTGTTAAAAACCAGGGCTCGCGCCGCCAGCGATGCCCAGCATGCCGGTGAGCGTCATCAAGGGTTGGCACAGCCTCGGACGAGCGCCGCGGTTTGCGGTTTGCCAAATGGGCGGCTCGTCTTTTGTTGGAGACCAACCGGAAAAAAAAAATGAAAAAAATGAAACGCTTCCAACATCATGAAACTTTTTGAACAACAATTGCAGACTTTTGGTTCTATGGCTAATATTTATTCTATGCCTTTCAAGAAATGCCCCATGAGGTAAGGTAGGGGCTTTGGGAGCTGCTGTTTTGTCTGTCTGGGTTTTTTCCAGGCAGGAAAACTGCCCTTTGTTTCACACCTTTTTTGACAAACCCCAACAATCAAGGAGGATCTGGCATACGAAAAGAAGGCCCTCTCTCGCGCAGTTTCTCACAGATGTCGCCCCTGCAGGTTCTTTGAGGGGTGGGGACCCTCGTTTTTGGGTCCTGGAGCCCCTGGAACTCTTCAAGCACGAGATCGCGTTTTTGGCGAGCAATGTTTGACACATCTTTCAGCAAGTTCATGGCGCCAAAGAACTGACGGCATATTAATGGCCCCATCTTTCCTTTCAGAAACTTCTTTCATGGCGCCAAAGAACTTGTATCTTGCTGCAGTGTTTTGACAGAGCTCTCTCCAAAACAACTCCCACTCGCTGACTTAACTCCCATTTGATCTTCCTGACCTGCGGAGGTTGATCAAAAGGTCCGATAAACGTGGGATGCCCATTGGGGAAACCACCGAAAAGGATGCTGATTCCCACTACATTTTAGTGGGAAGAGTTACCCATTGGGGCCAGGAATATTGATCTTCCTGGCTACCTGGACAAACCGTGACTCAACGAGATAAAGTCAGGAAACCTCAATCCAAAGATGCGTGATTCTCACTGGTGAGGTCTCAATCACTTGCCCAAAAATGAGTCACAGTCAGAACCTGCTGTACAAGGGGCCTACCCTAATTCATGTAGTAAATTAACAGAGCGGCCGCACCCATTTCTGGTAGGGATTGTCCCTTACAATCTTCTACCAGGCTTTGATTGCTGTTGTTCTTCTCGCCTGATATACGAATCCACAACTTCCACAATTCCAGAAATAAGGGTGTGTGGTTTTGAGTTTTGAAGGACCCCTCCGCCCCCCCCCCCAAAAAAAAGAAGTGTTCCTGAGCTGGTGTCCCTTTCAGAGAGTACCAAAGCAAAGACGCAGCCGTAAACTTGGAAGCCCGGTACGGGGGAGCTCCAACGGACCGCTCGCGCCTGGACAAAAAGGTCAGGTTGCCAGGCATGTGAATGAACCTCGGGCAACTTTCGACGGCAAGGAGATTCCAAGGCCCTAGTTCATTGTTGCCAGGCCTGTTTTGACATGCGTGATTTTTTGAACTTGGACTCCATGCATCACACTTACTGCAGCCGAACTCTTTGAACCCAATCATGCACAAGGTGCCTTCGCCCGCGCGGGTACCATTTATAGTTCAGATGTCCATAGCCCTGTCTCAAAATACGGAATGGCTGATTCTCATTTCCAGGTGCGGAAATCACGTGATCTCATGTCATGTCTGTCAAGCCCTTCATGACCGGATGTGGGGAAGGAAATTTACGACGTACAATGGTGTACCTCGTGTTGGGGATGGATTGTTTGGGGCCATTAAATTGATCATAGAAGGATTCATGAGCGTCTCCCTCAACGAATGAAGTATAAGGGCATCCCACGATGTTCTCTGACCATCCATCTGGGGAGACTGAGGACGCCCACATACCATGGGGTACTCCCTAATCCTGAGAGGATGTACACATGTTTGGACAAAGTGCACGACTTAACCTGAAACAACAGGGCTCCCTAGATTTCCTTTTTACACATCATCCCCCAATGAAAACTCACATTGAATAAATTGGCCCAAAAAGGAGATGCTCAAAACCACCGAAAAGTGGGGAAAATGGGAAACAGCGAGAATTAGGGAATCCCCAAGCGGGGGGGGGGGGTAGTCCAGGCAAGGGGGGTGCCCTACGGCTGCTAGGGAAACCTAAGGAACCATAAGGAACCAAAAGCAACCATCAGAACCACAAGGAACCATAAGGAACCATAAGGAACCATAAGGAACTCTAGGCCTCTCAACGATTCCACAAGAGAAGAAAACCCGAAGGGAACCTTCACTGCCTTTGCCTAGGTCGCAGAGCTTGCCACGGGAGATCTTGTCTCGGGCATCCCTTCAAAAGTTGCAATTTTCTGGTGGTGTCCATTGAAACGATCGCCACTTTGGGAGATTCCAACAAGGGCAATGGAGGAAACCCTGTAGGTAACCAGCCACGGTCCTTTCAGCTTTTAAAGGGCGGTTCCTTTGGTCACTTGTACTTACTATACAGGCAAATGGCATCACTGACGTCGGAACATGTAGGAACAGTTCTGAGCTGTTCTGGCAACTCAGGAACTGGAACCAGCTCTTCTCACCACATGAGTCGCAATCAAACGGGTCGATCCCGAAAGGCGGCGAAGGCACCCAGTTCTGGTTGGGATTGTCCCTTGCTAACCTTTATCCTAGGCTGGAATTAGGACCCCAGTAAAAAATGTCTTGTTTGCCTGGTTGCTGGAAAAGAAAGGGGACCCCCCCCCAAAAAAAAACAAGGAACTAATTCTGGCTCAGTATCTACCCGGGTTTTGAGGACGTGGCTCAAATGAGCTTCTTACATCCTGGATCTGATTAGATCGTGGCACAATGGTCTGGTCGCTCTGTCTGTGACAAACTTGCACGCCTTCAGCCCGAAACTTAATAGAATCAATTGTAGCTTTGACGCTCGCCCCCGAGCCGCAATTGGCGAGTGAACAAGTCAGGAGTTTAGCGCTAAAAGGAAAGCAGGCGAAGCGGCTCGTCATCAGAAATGCGATTCAGAGCTGAGTGCCAAGTGATCCCAAAACCACAAGGGGCCACTGATCCATAAAGAGCCCATGTGTTGTTCTAACAGTCTCCTCCTATGATCATGAGTTAAACTGTCGTTAAGTAGTCTGCTCCTATAATCATGACGCAAAGTAGCCCCGAACCCCATTCCAACTGCTTGGGCCGTATGGTTGGGCTCAGGAATTTGAATCCGGCCACCCTTTGGGCCCTCGCTTCGCCAATCATGACCCAGGTTCCCCAAAAGCGAATCCCCAGCGAAACTGAAAACCGCAACCCAAAGGAATCGAAGGAACCCTCTCCGGACATTTTCTTTGGGCCAAAAAATGGCCCCAAATCGCTTCCTGGGGAAAAACCATCGCGGCGTTTCTTTGGGCCATTTTGGCCCCAAATCGTTTTCTTTCGGGAAAACATCGCGGCCCAAAAAGGCTTCGAAAGACTTCAACAGGCGGCCAGCTCATGGTGATGATGACACGCCCATCTTCCACCACTCGCGGGGGCATCTCCGGCCTCAGCCCATTTCTTTGTAAAGAACTGAGTTGAGGAAGCAAACAAAGGTGTATAGGATTCAATGCTGAGGCGGGAATGCCTGGTAGGCAGTGCCCCAAATCACATACAAGTACGTAGTATCTCGTTAGACACATTGTTGCCACGCGCAACATGCAACAAATATCCTGACTCCGGCCAACCGCCGAAGCCAAAAATCCCCCCGTTTCTGCGGCACCTGATGCGTTTGTTTAGGGAATGGGCTTATGCTTTGGGGTGGAGGTTCAGGGTGTATCTAGGGGGTGTCAAGGGTGTACTGGGAGTTGGCAAGCTCCAAGATTTTCGATAAAAACCAAATCCGCTTGTGAGTGTGGGTTGGTTTAGCAGGGTTCCCCTTCTTCCCCTAACCTAACCAAGGAAGGACACTCGCTTTGAATTGGCCCAAAAGGTGATGTTGAAACTGTGAATCAAAGGTTGTATCACCAGACCCCTGGAACACACCGTTTAAGGATAAGCTAAACATCAGAGCATTTAAGGAGAACACTCAACTGTCATACTTCTTCCTTGGGGTTTGGTCTGGGCGTCTTTGAGTGAAATAGAAAGGACCACCATGTTTAAATCCGGTACCAAAGTCCGGTACAGCCTGGGCTGAGCAATGTTCAAAGCCAGCACACTGAACATCTCTGGCTTTCAACGCCCTCTGGCTCACTTTCTGAGTTGATGCTCCAAAGTCTGAACTTGTTGTTTACCACTAAAATGGTCTACCCAGAAAGCTTAAAGTCCAGGAACTCAGGAATTGTGAGCGGAAGATCCGCTGGCAGCTACCGGAGAAAACCAAATATACAAAGCCAGTTTTTACAACGTGTGCCCTTCATCCCTGGTCACATGGTTCACGGTTGAGGGTTTACCGTCGGGGCAAATGTGTGCCCAGAATGAAGGGTTCCCTCGTTTCTAAGCAATCTGCGACATGCTATTCACCTATCCTTCACACCTTGAGTCAGTTTCCGAGCAGCTGTCGAACGTCCGACCAGCGCAGCAGGGATGAGCCAAACACCAAGCCGAAGTGAAGCCCAAGGGACCTTTGTGGGTTTTCGCTTGTTGGACCAGAAATCGGTGAGCTCGCTGTGAGTGCAAAACAATACTCCAATCACGGAGTAAAAGATTCGCTTGGTTGCCTACCCCAAAGGGGGGATCGCAACTAGACCCTAGGTTGCAGGAAACCCAAACATCGCACTGAGACGGTTGAGTTGCACTGAGTCCCCAAGCTAGGTGAGAAATTTCGCACAACCAGACCCGGAAAAAAAAAAAAAGAAAAAAAGAAGAAAAACAACGCAGGAAAACCAAAGGAGTTCGATTCAACTTCCCAAGGTTTCCAGCAAAGTGAATCTTTCAGCGGGGGAACGGGAGGCGGTGGCTGGGGGTTTCCCTACTCAGATGCCCAGTGGCCATGGGGGACAAAAAAAGGTTGGTTGAGTTTACAGGAATCGGAACCCTTCCCACAAAAAAGTTGAACAAGTGCGGAATCCACCGAGCAACTGACATATGACTCCCTTGGTTCCCTACCTTTTGGGAGAATCCGATTCCCCAAGACCAAGTTCATAGGTCCGCGAATCGAATCGCAGGCGTCATCTTCTTAAGCCACGCTGAGGTTCGTTTCCTTTAAATGGCTGTGTGTTTAGGATTCGGACCCCCATTCGCTTCCTGGTTGTCCTGTTCGTTTCTCTTTAAACTCCCTTTGAAAGGCTCTTGTGTCTTTTGATGTCTGGCGTATCTGAGCATCAGATGTCAGGTGTAAGCAGATGAAGGCTACCCTGGAAAAAACTCGGCCAAACTCAGATGCCCAGTGGATTTCCATGGGAAAAAAGGACAAGGGCGCCCTTTATTTGTTGGCTAAATTTAAAGGAATCAGAACCCTTACCCAAAATAAGTTGAAAAAAGGAAGCAACCCACTGGTTGCAACAACTACATCACGCGGCCGTTGCCCCGATCAAATCAGCGGCCGTTCAGCCAGGTGGCCGTGGCAAGCCTGGCGGAAAATCCACTGGTTGCAACAGATCTTCCGAGGTTCCGGAATTACCCAAAACACATTTTTTTTGTGTTTTTAAAGAATTAATTACCCACACCAAGGTTGCAAAAAAAGAGGGAAGCAGCCCCCCTTTTTGCACCGGAGCAACAGATCTTCCGAGGCTCCGGGCGCCGTCTCGCAGAGCTCCTTCTCGACGGCGGCCAAGAACCGGCCGTTGGACTCCGCGAGCGCGGCGACGGCGGGGTGCCGCTGGACGTTGCACCTCGGCATCGCTTCCGAGGGTTTTTAGGGGCTGAGAATCCGAGGCGCACCTTCCAAAGCGGAGGTTGAACAGAAGCCCCAAGCCAAAAGGTTGAACAGAAGCAAGCCTCTAGCAGAAAACAAGTTGGTTGCTGTTGATTGAACAGAACTCAGACTCCCAATTATGCTTGATCCTGAGAGGTTCATTGCAGCTGAGACGTATGAAGTTAGATTTGAGCTTGCATATCCCACTCAAACCTCAGAGTATTCAAATGATGTTGATGTTGAACAGAAGCCTCCAGCAAACAAAAACAAGTTGGTTGCTGTTGAACAGAACCCCCCTCCCCCCCCCCCCCTCAAAAAAAGAAAAGAAATACAAACCAAGCCCGGGTGGTATCCCCAACAGCCCCGGAACCCCATGGAACCCTTTGGAACAGCTTATTTGGGCAAAGACCCCATAGCTTTTCAAATTAAAAAAAAAAAAAAAAAAAAAAAAAAAAAAAAAAAAAAAAAAAAAAAAAAAAAAACGACCGCAGCGAATGAAAATGCCTCTTAAATCAGGGAGCTGGAAACATGCATCCATTCCACTCTTGGCTTCAAGTTCGGGACTTAAAAGCTAAGCTCTTTTCTCATCCGTGCGCTCTACTTTGGGGCGGTTTGGAGGTTGACCATTTTCGAGCAGGTGCGGACTCACGGACGCGCGTGCTGTGAGACAGCGAAGCGATCTCCCGTAGTCGAGGCTCCCACAATGGTCACTCCGGGGATATTCTTATTCCTAGCAACCACTTGGTTTTGTGAAAGAAACGACCCCTCTGCAAAAAGTGACTAACTTTTGGTGGGTTTAATTCAGAAAAAAACCCTTGATTTCCACCAGAAAGTTAAAGTCTAAAGATCTAACCCAATATCAGTCAAGAACAGTTACCCCTTCCCTCTTCCCAACAATCATGGACGCAAAGGATGGTCGTCGAAAACGCTCCGGGCCATTTCCCTGATTGTCGGAAGAAGGGTGAGTGGTCTACAGGGCAATTCCTTCGGATGCCGACTGTGGTCAATGGAATGCCCAAGACGGGAAAAAACACATGTCGCGTCGGGGCATTTTAAACGTGTTGCGCTTGACCAAAGCCTCTACCTCAGATTTCCTGCCTGTTTACACTTGCTTTGGGGGGTGTAATCGACAAAGCACCAGGCACTCATGTTGATTGTGAGAAACTTCACACGCTCAAGCGAAACATGAAAGCCCTCAAAGCTCCGCATGAAAGTGAAACGTTCCCGCATCTCACCCCAAAGAAACTCGATTTACATCCCAGCACGTGATGTGCAAACTGGTTCCACGGCAAAACAGAGGGGTGTGTTCTTTTGAGGGTACCTGGAGTCTGGACAACCCTTAAACAAATTGGGTCATGACCCAAAACAAAGGGATCATGACCCCAGTTTGAAAGGGTCGTGGAGACTCCACTCAAGGGGTCGGTGTGGGTTTGCAAAACCCACATGGACCAGCCGTCCAACCGTCAAATGCCCAGCTGCAAGGACATTGCGGCCACATAGATGCGGTGCCCAAAAAAGGAGGCCTCGGGTGCGGCTTGCGTGGCGCTGTCCGGCCAAGCGCTGGGAATTGTGGAGCCAGCAAAGGAAATTGGGGCCAAGTACCCAACCATCACAAGGATTCCCCATAGAATTTGGTGTAGCTGGAAGAAATACTCTAGGAAGTTGGGGGCAAATACCCAAACAACACAAGGATTCCCAATAGAACTTCGCTATGTCGGGGGCATCGGGCTTCAAAGGAAAAGGGAAGCCACACGTTCTGGTCTCAGTTGTTCAGTGACCCTGGAAAAAAAAGGGGACTCTTGTTGGGGAAGACCATTTTTAGTGAGAAAAAGGGGAACCCTTTTTGGGGACGACCGAATTTTTAGTGGGGAAATAGGGGAACCCTGTTTGGGCACGACCGAATTTTTAGTGAGGAAAAAGGGGAACCCCTTTTGGGGACGACCAAATTTTTAGTGGGAAAAAGGGGAACCCTTTTTGGGGACGACCGAATTTTAGTGGGGAAAAAGGGGAACCCTTTTTGGGGACGACCAAATTTTTAGTGGGGAAAAAGGGGAACCCTTTTTGGGGACGACCGAATTTTAGTGGGGAAAAAGGGGAACCCTTTTTGGGGACGACCAAACTTTTAGTGGGAAAAAGGGGAACCCTTTTTGGGGACGACCGAATTTTAGTGGGGAAAAAGGGGAACCCTGTTTGGGCACGACCGAATTTTTAGTGGGGAAAAAGGGGAACCCTTTTTGGGGACGACCGAATTTTAGTGGGGAAAAAGGGGAACCCTTTTTGGGGACGACCAAATTTTTAGTGGGGAAAAAGGGGAACCCTTTTTGGGGAAGACATTGAAACATTGCATCCAAACAAAAATCGAAAAATAATGATGCCGCTGAACAACAGCAGCTTGTTGAGTTCTGAGGATCAGAGCCCCCCGGCCCTCGACTGCCCACTGACGCTTCGTGTTTGATTCCGGGCAGTTGATGGTGCTCGCAGTTCTAGGGGTACCTTCCATTTCCATTCTTAACCCAGGGATCCGAATCTGTTCAGGAAACCATCTTAAAAACCCCGGGGAAACACCCGGTTTTTGAAAAGAACGATGTGGAGTTGCCAAGGACCATGTTCTTTTTCAATCGAGTCCTTGGGCTGATGTTGGGCGCAGCTTGTTTTTGTATGAAACCAGCGGATTGCAGGCTGTATTAAAATGGCCTGGCCCAATTTTAACAGCCTAGATATGCGGGGGTGTCTTTTTGTTTGAGGGTACCCCTTTTGCGGTTGTTTCGAAGCGAAACCAAAAGCACAACCACGACTTATCTATATAGGTATACTAATATGCATATGCATTGTATTTTTGTTCAAAGCCTGTCAGACTCCACAGTGGAGCAAAATGAGGTTTGTCGACAAAACACCCGTGTTTTTGGAAAGCCACAAAGAAATGGTTTGAACAACGCTTGCTAAAATATCAAACTGCATTTTCTACAATAATTCCCAAAGTTGCATTCAGGGATCCCCAACAGGACCTGTGTCCTAGTAAGCTCGTTTTACCCCCAGGTGAGCCCCCTTTAAAACTGGCTTATGGGTGTGGCTCAAAATTAGAAAGCTTGGGTTACGCAGGTTTTAGTCTTTGGTTCCATTTACCAAGGTGCCATTTTGGTACATTTTTGTGAGCCACAGCCATATGTGTAAACACGTGCTGGACCCCTCCACCCCTCCACCCCCAAGGCTCTTTTGGTGGACATGTCCAAGGCGCCACCAGCAGCACAAGGACCAGCACCAGGCGGTGCAGGGTCAGCTTCATGGGCAGCACCTAGCGGGAGAATTTTGAGATTCGTGCGGTTCATGTTGCCTAGCGGGGTTGATTCCTTGTCCATTCTTCTCAACCAGCGTTCTTTTCTCAAAAACCGTTCGCGATTTCCCCGGGGTGTTTTGGGTGGCTTTCCAGAAAGAAGGATCCCTGGAAATGGAACTGGAAGGTACCCCTAGAGCAATTAGAGAAAACTCGGTTGCTTTCTGCTCCCCTGCTAAAAGTTTAAAACTTCTAGTGGTTTAATACGGAAAACCCAGTAGTTGGCAAAAAGGTAAAGTCCTAACATCCCGTGGCAAAATGCACCAAAGTTACCCTCCCACCAATTGACAGCCGGAACCTGTTTTTGGAGAACGGTCCAAACCAGGACCCCCCGGAGCGTCAGGTTCCCTGTTAATTGGGCGGAGGGTAACGTCAAACGGTCTTTTGCGGCTCAACATGGGTTGGGCTGGCCAATCCGATTTTCCATCATCCCCTGTTGGGAAGCCACTTACCTTTGAACAGCCCAGTTGTTTGAAGCAGCTAGGGTCAGCTTCATTGGCAGGACCTAGCGGAAACTAAGATTCTTGTGGCTCACGTTACCCTCCCACCAACTAACAGCCGGAACCTGACCGGGGGTTCCTTTAAAAGGACAATGGTTCTCCAGGACCCCCCTGTCATGGTTCCATGTTAATTGGTGGGAGGGCAACATCAAACAGTCTTTTGCGGCTCAAAATGGAGGCTTGGCCAATCCGATTTTCCATCATCCCCTGTTGGGAAGCCAATACAAAGGGGACCCCTTGACTAACCCAAGGGAAGGATTTTGCGGATTACCTTTAAACAGCCCAGTTGTTTGAGGCTGGTGTGTTTTGTGTTTTCCCTCTACTTGGTGGATTGGATTGGTGGCTTCAAACCCTCAAACCACAAATTCCAAACCGCTAACCAAGGATAACTTGATAAATTGAACGGGTGGCTCGTCTTTGCAAGGAATCGGACCCCCTCAGCATGGCATCGGTTTTTCTTTGGTCTTGCTTAAAAAACAAAAACAAAAAGGGTACCCTCAAAGCAAGACAGACCCATTAACATCCCAACAAACATTCAAAAACAAGGTTCGGGGGTTCCAGGCCAATCATCCGATGACTTCTTCGCCCACATCTTTGCCACTGGGCTAAAAACAACATAACATGTAAGCAGCGGCCGACTCAATCTTCATACACACAAGTGTTGAATATCTCCAAGACTTGTCAGCTCAAAGTCTCACCAAAAAGAAACGGATGCTTTGCAAACAAGAACACACATGACAAACAGGAACAACGCGTTCATGACGAATCCGAGGGACCAGTGAGTGGAAGATGACTGTTGCCCAAAACACATAACCGACATGCCCAAACGGAGTTTTCTGCTTCCATCTGGGCAACTTACACATATTTCATAGACATGGGGAGTGCCAAAAGGATTGGAATCCAGCTCGCTTGACTCCTGCGAGCCTTGCGATATGCTTTGTAGGAATCGTCATCCATCCATCCATTTCACAGACCGGGCATGGGTCCCAAAAGAATTGGAATCCAGCTCGTTGGCTCCCGATTCTGTGAGCCTTGCGATAATTGCTGCCTATCTCTTGGTTGCGAAAATAATGAATTTCCCTTGTTGGGGGTTTGGCGGGAAACCACAAATGATTTCAACCAAAAAGTTAAAGTCTAAAGATTCAACCCAATAGCTGTTGCTTATCTGAAACCCCAGCCTGCTCATCTGCCACGGTGCCCTGCACATGCAAGGCCTCAGCCACTTCACTCTGCGGAAATTCGTGGCCAACCCATTTCTGGGCTGCATGGAAACCTCCTGGTGTCCTTGCTTCGTTTGTTGAAACAGAAGCTCGAATAGGGGTGTGCTTCTGTTGAGGGTACCTGTTTAGGGGGTTAAACCAACCACCACTTTCAGAGCTCCCCATATTTGCCCCTTGTGAAGCGCCACCTCTTGGGCCAACTAAGAGTTTCCTTTTGGCAGGGTCATGTTCGAGCAGGGGAAACCTCTTGGACGCCTCGAATTCTAGCACCTCTCTTCACTTTGTGCAAAGGACCTCAAGCTGCTGGGGCCACTTTTCAAAGACGAAGGAAAAAACCGGAGGACCCAAATATCAGCATTCTGCAAGCGGGATGGGGAGCTGTATGAGGTGCACATTGGTTCCAAATGGGAACTGGGTAACATACTCCCATTCCGTTCCAGGGAGTCGTAGACAATTGGCCCTTTGGGATGGTACGGGGTGATTCCCTATTGAGGGAGCGTGACCATGGCGTGCGGCACACTGTACATACAGTGAGCCCATCTGAGCGACAAACAGTGCGTGTGTTTTGTCTTGCCTCCCTCAGGCTAACATGGCAGCTCCCAGAGGACATTCCTCTTCAAAGGGGTACCCGGTAACAACGTCAGCATAGGGGAAGGTAAGCCTACTTAAAGCCTGGTCTCCCCAAGCATCCCCCCAGCAAACGGACCGTGCTAGCGTCGCCTCCCGCACTGCTGCTTTTCGATGACTCACAATCAAACCCAATATCAAAGGATCTTACCCAAAAACTACGTTTAAGGAGAAAAAACACAAAGAACACACATCGGCACCTGTTCATGGTTGGGAGTGTTCCCCTCACCCTTCCCAAAATTGATCTTGCAGGGCTCTCTTTCTGATTTCTGCCCTGAAGCATCGCACCACCCAGAGGAAACTCACCTTCAATTGGTCCTCCAGTAGAGAGGTTAGAATAAGGGCACCCGTGGTTTCTTCTTGTTTTGTTTTTCTCTTTGTTTTCTGTAGTCTATTGTAGTAGGGGAACCCTCCCAACCAAAAAAGGGGTGAGAAAGGGTACTGCGGGACCGAGCCTTCAATTGGTCCAAGTGATGCAATTCAAAAAATCCGCTCGTGGTAATCAACAGCTTGAAGAAACGCAACGACAAGCCTGGCTCAAACTGGCCAAGAAACGGGACTTGCACACATCTCTCCAATAGGGTGCTACCCCCAAAATGTGCTTCGGTCCCCTTTGGTTTCCCACACCAACCCCCAAAAGGGTGCCTGGAGTATCCATGACCCTTACCTGAGATGCCCAGCGGCCATGAGGAAAACAGAATCGGCTTCCTTCTTTGGTTGGTTCAGTGTAAAGGGGAACCCAAAAAGGGGGGAAAATTGAAAACACGAAACGGGTGGGAAAAATGGAAAATGGAAAAAGGGGGGAACAAAATGGGAAAAATGGTTTCATCAACAAAAGAGGACGGAATCCACTGAGCAACTGGGTTAAAACACATGGGATAGTTACCCAGACAAAACGGGTCACCTCCATTTGCTTAAGTCCCTTGTGCAAATGAGGAAATATTTCCAGTAGTGAAATCGATTCCCTTTACAACCAACAAGGGAAAACAACACATATTCATTTCAGCAAATGGAAGGTCATGAGAGTCGCAATCAAAACCTGGTACTAAAATGAAGGCGGATTTCCGCAGCTATTTATTGGGGACTGTCCCTTACCAACCTTCATCTAACCGGGTTTTGAGGACGTGGCTCATGACCCCAATTACTCACTTGCCGAGTGGATAGCCCAAAAAAAGTCCAAACTTTATATTTACCACTAAAATGGTCTTCCCAAAAAGTTTAAAGTCCAGGAACTCAGGGAGTGAGACTAAGGGTCAGAAGCAGACGCCAGCGACTCAACGGAGCCATCTGCCGCTTCCTGAGCGCCGTGCCAGGGGCAACAGCCCCCCCGCCGCGGACCTAAGAGCGAAGCCTCCACCCAGATCCCCAGGCGGTTCGCCAGTCCAAGCGGGCAGTTTCCAGGACTTTGAAGTGGGGTTCCAAGCAATCAACATAAGAAAATAAATACAAATGATGCTGTTTTCAGGTCTGGGAGTTGTTCAACGTACCCACTTCAGGCTGCTTCAAAGGGGAAGCCAATAGGAAACCAGCCCCGCAAGTTTGCCAACCAGCCCCTACTTCGACACATAACCGTGTTGGCAGTATAAGATGCAAAAACAAACACGACATTTGCCTATCATGTCTCAGACTTCAACTTAAGCCACCCTCTTCGAACTATTTGGGCCCATCCACCTTGTGGAATGCTTTGAAACAAGCTTCCATTGATTTGATGCCCCCTATGCGGCCAGAATTCAACCCCAGAGCCCTTGTGTGACACGTTCCGGCCCCCAGTCTGGCACATGGAAAGCCCAAAGGAGCCATGTTGCAACAAGGGACCGGTTTGGGTGACCCGTTGAATGGAATCTCAAGGACCCTTTGGTGGATTTGTCTTTACCAACATTACACCTGCATGGGGATTTATCTTCACCATCTATCTTCACCTACATGGGGATTGTTCCCACAATTTGGGTGACCCGTTGGATGGCTCTCGAAATCAGATGCGAGAAGCCCACGAGTCTTGTGCAAGCGATTGGAACCGATTCGTTCAAACATTATTCGGCGGCTCTCCTTGTCAAACTTGCCGGCAAGTTCTCAGGGAACGAGGCAGGGAATGACCCCCAAGAAAAACTAAATCCAATGGCTAGGGAATCCACCTCCTTCCGGTTCATTAAAAAGAGAAGAACAAAAAAATCTGTCCTCTTGGCTTCCCAGGGAATCAATCCACCTTCCGGTTTTCATGCAACCAAACTGCCGCGCTTTTGTCTCATTGCATCGAGTCATCGCAAGCAAAACAAACGCCCACGGACCGACGCCAAGCGGCCCCAAGCCGAAGTGTTTCTGCACCCAGGTCCTGAAGAGAGGCTTCCGCGTGACATCCCTTCACCCGGCTACGGAAATCCGGCGACGACCGTTTGGAGGCGACCGTTTTCGGTTGGTAGCTGAGCAAAGGGAAACCCATTCTGGTTGGTCCTAACTTGACACCGTGCTCTCCATATGTCCCTCTTAATACAATCACCCCACCAGGAAGCTCGCCCGCAATTGGGCCAAGTGATGCTCAAACTGACATAAGTGGGAAATCTGGGTATGAATTTCAAGTGGTGACCCTCAAAGGTGGACATTTAGCGAATCTATGCCCACGGTTGAAGGGGTTCCCTGCTACAATTCATAAGGATGTTCTGGTGTGTCTTTTTTGAGGGTACCCTTTTTCCCTTGGTGTTTGAGGGAAACCAAAAGGACAACCACCGTTTTGGGGGCTCCCCTATTTAACACACCCGTGGACCCATGTCCAAGGCGACAAGTATAGGGGTGGGGATTTGGACGGCGACAAAACATGGATTTCGGTCTTCCTCTTAGTTTTCGGTCTTCCTCTAACAGGAAAACAACCGGAAATCCGTCCAAAACCGTCCGGAAAATTATTCTAGCCCGAAAATGGTGTTCTCTTCTCCGTTAAAGGATGGACACCTTGGTTTGAAAGAACTCCCCCCAAACAAATAGGTTTGAAACCTCGGTTTGGAAGGGCCAAAGCCCCAATTGGTGGGTTCTTCCGCGCCAACCTGACGCGGGTTCAGGCACTGGTGGGCCCCGGCCTGCCGCTGTGCCCCAGCCGCACCAAGCGCCCAAACGCCGCCCGCTCCGGCAAGCCGTGCAGCGAGGGCTGGGCGTCCCTCGGTCTCGAGAGGCGCGCGAGCTCTGGGCCGAGGTTGCGTGGCGGCTCTGAGTGGTTGTTGTTGTTTAAGGGGTACTACTGTGGATGGACAAAATCCCCGGAAAGAACGGAAGTTACCCCGAGCAATAAGATCTTCCAAAGGCTGCCCCTACTGTGGATGGACAAAATCCTCTTAGGCACCACTTGGAAACCATGGTTGAAACCATAACGTTCGTTGGTATTTATAGGGGAATCAACATTCCAGGGTTTCTTAGTTGGTGCGAAATGGATTTTGTCCATCCACAGTAGGTCCTCCAGATTTGAGAGGTTAGAACAAGGGTACCCTGATTCTTTTTCTGTAGTCTATTTTAGTAGGGGGACCCTCCCCAAAAAAAAGGGGTAAAAGGGCACTACTGGGGGACCTAGGGTTGCTTTTGGTCCCCCCCACTCTCCATCATGGTTGTTTCTTTTTGCAAGGATAACCTTTCTAATCTCTCAATCATGTTTGGGCTTCTTTCAAGGATACAATTTTTGTCCCCCCTCTCCAATATGTGTGTGTGCGCGTTATATTTTACATGTACTTGTTGTGTGTCTGTTGGGGGATCCCTTGTTGGGCTTGTTTAAAGGGAAACTAGAGAAACCACCGATCGTAGGGTGTGCTTTATTTTAGGGGGTTGTAAATAGGGCCCCTTTGAATGGTGAAAAAAGGGACCCTACGGGTTCATAAAATCTTGAGCAACGGGTGATGCCCCCCCCCCCCGAAAAGGGATTGATGCCTATTACAAGCAAAGGGGCGTTTGACCATGGACCATCCTCCCTCTTTGCACACAAGGAGAAACCCAAATGGGCGATGGCCCATGTTTAATGTCGGAAACCCCCAACTTGGGACACTTTGTTCCTTTATGACGTGTAAGAATCGGACCCCGGCACAGTTTTGGCTTCCTATTGTTTTCCCGCGAAACCAACAAGGGTGTCTCAATTTCTGGTTTAGCACCGGTAATACCGTGCCGTGAAAAGTTTGGTCACGGGGACCTCTCTCAACAGCTGTGTTGAGACAACAGCATAGGGGGGCACACACACACACACACACACACACACACACACACACTTGGCCTTCCAAGAACCTCCACGAAGGCCTTCGCGAGTCGGCTCAAAACCATCCTCCACGCAAATCTAGCGGACGGAAACCGTGCGGAGTTGGTCGTAGCGTATGCCCCCTATGTTGTTGAGTTTGTTTGATGTGTAGAGTAGGCAACAATTTGAATCTATTGCAGGCGCAATGGGGTTTAAGCGCAATGCCTCAGCCTCACTCTTTGCTGGATGCTAGGGCAAATAAGTCATCTTACCAAACTCAGCTTTCTCAACAGGAAACAGGCAAAAAGGCAATGGCACGGCTTCTTAAATCTCAGAAATGGGACACCCACTTGCCGGTACTGTGTCGCAAGGTGGTTTGGTTGTTTGGTTTTTACTCAGAATCAAATCTCCCTTCGTCCTTCTCTCTCTCTATCCCTCTCTTTTTCTTGTCATTGTTTGTCTCTCTCCCTCTCTCTCCCTCTATCAATTTCTCTCCGTCTCCGTGTTTTTCATTTCTCTCTCTCTCTCTCTCTCTCTCTCTTTCTTTCTCTTGTGCTTGTTTGTTTCTCTTCCTTTGTTGTCTTGTTTTCTGTATTTTTGTCTTTCGCTGCTTCACCGGGCATCCCCCAAAAGAGCAAAAACAACAAAAACAAAAAACAAACAACAGCCCTTTCTTTCTTTCTTTAATTCACCGGGCATCCCCCAAAACCCAAACCGGCAGATCACTTCTCCTTGCCTTCCATGCCGAGTCGCTTGGGCACGAAGGCCAGCACGCCCAGCCACGCGCTCGGGGCCTTTCCCTTGCCCTGCCTCGATTCGGTCGAAAGCGTCGAAGGCGGCGAGGCGTTCCAAAGGCTGGGGCCGTGGATTTTCAGCTGGCTGGTGCGATAGAAACAGCCTTTGGAAGATCCCATGCTGGGAAACTTCTGGTGGCTTTGGGCTTTTTTCTTACCCAGGCTTTGGTCCCCTAGGAAACCCCCACTAAAATGTGCGTTTTTTTTTGGGGGGGGCATGCATCGAATTGATGGTCCAACTTAAAAAGTACCCAATTTGTTGCTTACCACTAAAAGGGAAACCAAGCCCAAACAGTGACATTTCAGTCCGAAACGGGACTCAGGAAGTGATTCGGCTGGCCTTGATGCACAGTCTGATGACTTCTGACTTGCTGGTCACTGCACATTACCGTGGCACAGCATCATTCACTTGAATCCAACTCAGTAGCTGGTGATGACAAACATCTCTGGCCCGCCCATGGGAAAGCAGAGATTGCTTTTGAAGCTAGGACAACCCATGCTTCAAAATGGTTGCAACATTTTCACATGACGCCCCTTTGTCAAAACCCATCCAACTGGCACCACTCTACAATTGCGAGGAATGTTCTTAACTTTCAGCTCAAGGCACTTCTGTGTGGGGACATCGCCCCAAGAAAGCAACAGCAGCTTGCCGTCTTCTCGCGGCGTGTTGCGGCCAAACGCCTGATGCGGAGCAAGGATCTGACACATGCCCGTCATGGGTTCACTCCGTTGGTTTCTTCCATTTGGTTAAGGCCCCAGGAAAACATATATCCGGTAGTGATGAATTCCTTTTAAGACCAACAAGGGAAAATAACAAAAATCGAATAATCTATTCTTAAGCAAATGGAGGGTTTGGCCCCCGGCAACGACTTCAAGTGTGACCAGTGACAGAATCGATCCGGCTTTGGGCATCCACAAGCCTGAAACGAGGAAACACCAGGAAGAACCTGAAAGCATTTAAACAGCAACAGGTTTCCGTCGCCCACCCGAGCATGAATCAGAGTCCAACTTTTCTCTGGCACGCGCTTGGCACACTGGAGGACCTCTGAAACGAGGGGACCCTCAAAATGGGTTTCCTCTTGTTGTCCTGAGAGAATCCCCTCAAAACAGACACACCATGGGTGGCTAGTCATATTTTAGGAACCCTTCTTAACAATGACGGCTTTTCTCTTGGTTTCCCTTTAACGCCGTCAACAAGGCTAGGCTTGAAAAACCGGACCCCAGCAAATATATATATATATATATCTTTTTTGCCTGGTTGGCGGAAAACAAAGGGACCAACCAAAAAAGCGCGAAAAAGAAAAAAAAAAGAGGTAATTCTGGGGAAAATAAGGGTCACCTGAATCACTCGAACTAGAAGCCGGGAAAAGCAAAACAATGAACTCCGGCCTCGTCCAGGAAGAAGGGGAGCTAATTCTGGGGAAGGGATACCAACTCCAAACAAGAGAGACACCGAGCAACAGCAACCGCAACGTGCCTGGCCGATGAACTCGGACCACTCCTGCCAGGCTGCTGGTACCAGGTACCACCTATGGCCTACCGTGCCAAATGGAGGCTGCCTGAGAAAACTCGTGGGTTGAATGGAAATTTATAACCGCTCAACCAACTTAGCTGAGAAATAAAATGAAAAATGGCTGGGGAAACCACTACAAAGGGGAACCACTTTCGTACCTAAAGGCAAGAAAAAAGGTCTACCAAAATGGTCAAGGCATTGGTGTCCTTTTTGGAAAATAGATGGCCCTGGTGGATGATTGAAACAGGTAAACTAGGAATCGCCCTCTACATGTTTTACCAAACCAACCAAAAAGGACATCTATATGAGGTGTAGAGCTGAAACCAGGTAGCACCTACCAAATTGCCAAATAGAGGGGCCCGGGTTTGCGCGCTAAATGGTTGCTGGAACTTCACCTGTCTCATTCAACTCATTGCTTCGCTTCGAAAAGGGCTGTTGCCCAAGCTGGCCCCTGGGGCCGCATCTTCCGGCATGCGCATCTCCCCCCCTCTCTCCTTCCTCACCTCAGCTCGCCTCACCTCTACTCAGCTCTGCTTTCAAGTTGCACTTGCCGAAATGGATGAAAAAGGATCTTCCATTTGCTTAAGACCCCTGACCCCTGGAAAACAAAAAGTCCAGTAGTGACTCACTACTGGACCTTTTAAAACCAACAAGGGAAAATATATGGAAACAAAAAAAAACAGCACTGGAAGGGATGCAAGCACCTCAAAACCACGTTTCAACGGTCCCAGTGCCCTGGTCGACGCCAGCGAAGGGCAATTTAATTATCTCCTGGACATATCGGCGGAATCCCAAGGAGTCACTGGAGAACCCCTGTAAAAGTTGCAATTTACCGGTTTTTCCATTGGACAAACACTGCCGCTTCTGCAAGGTCCACAACTCACTTCCTGAGTGGCCAAAAAAACAAGTTTCCAAACCTGGTGCTTGCCGCTAAAATGGCCACCAGGCCCAAAAAGTGACCTTTCAGTCCATCTCCGGGTTGAGGCCAGTTGCTGGTGTCCATTGAAACCGGCCCCTTTTCCAGGATCCCAAGAGGGAAATTGCCTCGGACCCCTAAAACCCCCCCCTCACCCCCCACCCCAGAGACATTGGCAGTGGGTCAGAAATCGGTACCCAAAACGGAACCCTGGTAAATGGAAGCATGGGGTAAAACCTGCGGGCCGGGAACTTCACTTTGACCGCCCACATCCGCCTGCGGAGAGGCAGTTCTCAGCACCACGGACCGGGTGGCATCCTCGCAGCAAAGCGCCATTCGGGAAGGCGTCTTCCAGTTGGCTTTTTCGGCCCCTGGCGAAAAAGGAAAGACAAATCGGTTCCAGTAGCGAAATGGATTCCCTTTAAGGCCAACAGGGGCAAAATTTGTCTGTTTTGTTTTTCAATGAGCAAATGAAAGGTCGTGCTTGAGTTGGAGCCCCGGCTCTACTCTCAACATGGCATCCCGGGTAAATGGAAACGACCGTAACACCTGCGTATCACGAGCTCTTGGACTTTGAGCCAGGAGGATGGGAGAAAAGTCAATAGAAGAGACCTCTTCGCCACAACGGTCTTCCCATGAAACGAAAGTCCATGAGCTCCAGGGAAGAGTGAGTCTTCCAAAGTGAACAGACCCAAAACCTGTGGCTGGAGGGTTGTCTCTTGGGCTTGGGGAAGGCAGTCCCGCAGCTCCATTTATCCCTGAGAGGCAACAAAAGTCCCTGAAAAGTCCCTGAAAGGCAAAACAGTCCATTTGTCCCAGTTCCATCTTGTCAATAGGCTTGGCAGAAACCGTGGCACTCACTTTTGAGATCGAGACTTCCCGGCGTCCCTTTTTTCGGCTTCGGCACGATCGTCCTCGATCTGATCCGGGCGAAGACGCGTATGGAAGCTGGCCACGCCGTAGCCGGAGGTGTAACTGGCGCTTGAAACGCCGGGCCCGGAGCAGGCCACACATGCCTTGCGCCTGTGGGTTGAAAGATAGGGCAACCCCAAAATGGGGTCGAAAGATAGGGCAACCCCAAAACGGCTGGCCCTGGTAAAGGAAACCTCCGACTAAAATCTGCGGTCCTCTGGTGATTTGATTTGGACCCATACACATTCGAGGGGTTCATCAAAAGGTCCAGTAAACATGGGCCTGGGGTGCCCACTAGGGAAACCACCAGCAAAAATGACTTTCACCTCTGAATGGGGAAGTTACCAATGGTAACACAAGCCCAATTCGACATGATAGAACCTAAAGCCCCTTCGGGCCACTTGCTCTCTGATAGATGGTGACACATGTCGTTCTGGTTGGAGAACCAACAAAAACTTGGAACCATCCATAAGGACAAAGAAAGGCCTACATGGACTGCAAAAAAGCAGCCAGCCTCGTATATCACACATGTTAAGTATTCCAAACTGCAGCTGGCAAGCACCTTGTGCAAAAATTGTCCGGCAAAGAGACACACATCAAGCTGGCTCAGTCCTTTCATTGAAAAGCTCCGGACTTCTTGACGTCGGCACAATACCAACACAAACTGAAGAACGTCCCAACCTAGGAGTTAGCCCAAATAGCAACGCCACAAGCCCGGAGCTTTTGAAGGACAAGCGAGCCAGCCATCGGAAGGGCCCTGCATTTAGAAAAAGCCGCTGCGCAGATCTGAAGACTCGGCCGGCAACAAGCTTTTGTGCAAACAAGGTGACCCGCATTTGGCTGGTTCATGGAAAAAAAGGGAACACCCGCAGTTGGCTTCTCGATCCTAATGGCAACCACCCATGAAATCTCCGATGGGGGACTTGGAAGAAACGGCGCAGGTGGATGTGCGGAAACCGTTTCGTGGCACATCCACAGGTTTCCCTGTTCTTGATATAAACAGCAATGACCTGTGCCAAATCATGTTTCCCTTACACAGGTTGCCCTAAAGTAAAGGGGATAGGAATTTGGCACCATGCACGGGGAAGGGTCCCGTATGGGTATGCACCCCCCACCCCATACTGAATCTAAGAGTAAGCGAAAGTTGGGCAAGACTCCTTTCAAGCGCTTATGTTAGGATATGTTGTATAAACAAGTGTGTTTTGAACATGCTCAAATTAAACAAGGGCTGGGCCCAACCCACCCAAACAACAACTGATTCTTGCCACATTGATTTAGTGTACCAGCAAACTCAATTCAAACAAAACTGCCTGTGGCAGTTGCTTCTTCTCAATTAATGTGCAACCCGACATGTTTGTCAGGGTCCTGAATGGATACATCCAACAACCAGCTCACCAAGGAATCCTCCAAGTCATCTGGCTGTGGCTCAAAAAACCGGTACCAAAACGGAACCCTGGGATGTGGAAACATGGACCAAAACCCGCGGTTTGCCCCCCTGCTAAATTTTGAGACACCCCCATCTGGAAATTAGTGATTCTTCAAGCCGGCATATCGACCTCCAAGGAGCTTTGCTTAGCTTTCAGTTGCCCCTTGAAACACCCAGGAATCAACTAGGCTGGAATTAGGACCCAAGCAAAAAACAATAGATGCCTGGTGAGTGGAAAACAAAGGGCCCCCCAACAAGCAAACAAGCAAAAAGGGGAGCTAATTCTGGCGAAGTCAAAGGGTGATCACTTTGTGGGGCCATGACTAGAACTGAACGGTCAAATCTGGTCGATTCGCCTGGGGCAGGTGAGTCATGATCAACACCTGGTACTAAAACGTTCCACCCAAGACTATGTATCTGGTTGGGGCTATCCCTTACCTTCATCTACCTGAGCTTTGAGGACGTGGCTCAAGTGAGTTAACCACGTCCAATCCTTGGTATGCTAGAAAAAACATTAAGTCTTTTCGCAAGTCACTACTACACATGAACCGAAGTCCCAAAACACTAAAAACTTAAACACACGACAACAACAATGAAGCTAACCTTCCATTTGCTTTTGCTCCCTGGAAAAATAAGACCGTACTTCCAGTAGTGAACAAATCCCTGTAAAAGCAAGAGGGGACAATGAACACATATTCTTTCAGCAAATGGAGGTAGCACAAATCTGGTGTTTGGCCCTTGGGATTGGCCAAAAAGAGTCCAGGAACTCAACAAGTGCGAAACTCCCCAAATCGCTCACTGTTTGCGCATTTCGCAAACATGAACAACACCCACCCCAAAAAAAACCGGAAGAAAAAGACACACACACACACACACACACCAACCACCGTGAGGTTCACCAAGTTGGCGCTTCTGGGACCATCTGTCGCTGCCGCCCTCCGCCCTCCGCTCGCCCTCGCCATCGCCTCAGCAGCCGCTGGATCTCCGGTGCGCCCAGCGACGGCTGGCGGCCCAGCAGCGCGTCCAGCGCCAAAACTCGGTGCAGCCACAGGAGAAGCGCCAGCACCGCGAAGACCAAGCCCTGAGTTTAAAAAAAAAAAAACTGGCTGGTCCGGTCCATATAGGTTTAAGGGTCTGATGTTGGAAACCATGAGAAACCATTCGGACATTCTGCACCACTGGGAAACCACGGGAAACCATCGGGTCGACAATCCGACGTTCAAATCGGTGGCTCATCTTTCTTTAGGACATTTCGACCCCCACATGGTGGCGTTGGTCGAAAACGTGCTGGTCCGGTCCATAGGGTTTCCCTTCCAAACCAAAAGGGCGGTCCATAGGTTTAAGGGTCTGATTTAGGTGACCCTTTCAAACCAAAAGGGTCTGATTTTGGGGGGTCCTTTGTGTTGTTGCTTTAGAGGGAAACCAAGCCCTCGGTCGAACATCCGACGTTCAATTCGGTGGCTCGTCTTTCGAGCCAGGATTTGTCGTTGCCCCCAAATGCTGGAGTTCAACGTTTTGAGTTGCACTTGTTTTCAGAGGATGTCGAAACTTGCTGGTTCTTTCCAGAGGCAGGGAACGACAAATGGAACGCACCCAAGAAAATGGAATCCAGCTGGAATCTAGAAAATTGCCTGGATGCGGCGCAGCTGTGGGCGGCTTGTCCACTTTTTGGGGCACTTCAAACGGCACTTCTTTTTCATTGGATTGAAAGGGAAGCCAACAGTTGAAAATCTCTTTTAATATCCTACAGGGGTGGATCCAAATAGGCCCCGGTGTTGAGCCGCCATTGAACTAAAGGGGGTCAACACAACCACCATTATTCATTGAGGAATTCCATCACCCAAATTGGGTCAACCATTCTTTTAATGCGGGGGTGTCTCTTTTTGAGGATTGGAACCCCCAATTGGCTTCGGTTTTACTGTTGGTTTCACTTTAAAACAACAACACAAAGGGATACCCTCAAAATCAGACCCTTTTGGTTTTAAAGGGGAACCCAAGGGATGCCAACCTTTTCTTTGTTTTTCTTTGGAAGAATCCTACTAACTCATCTCGCAACCTGCGGATCTGTGGCCCGTTACACCAGGGGGAAAGCAAACGACACAATATCCTTTCCCAAGGGGTTGTGCCATCTGCTTTCGACCAACTGTACTTGGTTGCTTTTTGCTCCCCTGCTAAAAGTTTACTTTCTAGTGGTTTAATGGAAAACCCATTAGTTGGCAAAAAGTTAAAGTCCTAACATCCAAGCAAAATGCACCCAAGTGTAGATGCTTGCTCGCTTACAATGAGAAGCAACCTGTTGGCATATCGAACCAATGAAGAAACAGGAACAAGGTGTCCACAAGCAGCAGCTGGGTTGGCAATTTCTTTGGGCGTCAAAGTTGCCAGTGAGCTAAAACTACAGTTGGGTGAAACTAGATGGCACAATTCCAACCAAGCTGGTTTAGTCATCCTCTTTCCCTCCACCAAAAAAAACAAAAAATGCGAAATCTGTTTTTCACCCCAGTGCTGTTCATGGTCTGGAGGGCACATTTGGCGTTTCCCCAAATTGATGGGCCAGCGACTGCGGGCTGCGGGCTGCGGGGGCCATGGCCACCACAGTCGCCTGGTTTGTTCCGTAGGTTCTCTTTTCAAACTACCCCAAAGAAGGGGTGCCGGTACCCTCCAAATCATAGACACAAGTTGAATGGCTGTCTTGAAAATGACGGTTTGGGGGATGGAACAGCTCAATTCGAAATGAACCCTTGGAAATCATTACATGGAGATATTGGTCCACCAACCACCCATTAACATTCAGCCCTGGCGGCAGCCTTGGAAACTCTCCGCCTTTCCCCACAAAAGAACCTGTGAAATAATCCCCCAAACTCACTTCCAATCCAGTGGATTGGCCAGAAAAAGTCGAGCAACTGTTTGTTTAAAACGAAATTGGTCCAAGCCCAAAAAGAAGGTGAGCAAGGTAGAGGGCAAATGACTGGTCGCATGAGGAAAACCCATATTTGGAAAACAACACCAAAGTCCGAAACGGAACTCAGGAAGTGGCTGTGGGGCAAAAATAGGTACCCAAAATGGACCCTAGTGAATGGAAACATGGATTAAAACCTGCGGTCTCCTAGTGATTTAATTTTGACCCACGCCCAAGTGACTGAATGGCTAAATGACCGAATGACTGAATGAGTGAATGAGTGAGTTGATGAATACGGTGTCCTTAGAAAAGTCCGAAACGGAACTCAGGAAGTAAGATGAAGTAAGCACAGGTTCCTCTCACCGGAGGTTCCCTCAAATTCCTCCCGGGCGCATAGGCGCGCAGACCGCGCCAGGCACTGGCCCGCAGCAGTTCCGGCAGCCGCTGAAGCGCCACCACCTCCTTGTCGCCTGCGGCCGTCTCTTGCCTCGGTCCGGGGAACGCAGAAGGTAACGCATGTATGGTTGACATGATATGGTATGGTATGGTATGGCATGGCATGGTATGGTATGACATGGCATGAGATGCAACGGAATGGATTGTAGTGAAAACAAATATGAGGTAATGTTTGTGCTACGATGTATGTATATACGTACGTATGTACTGTAGGTATGTGTGCATGTGTGCATGTGTGCACGTATGCATGTCTGCATGTAGGCATGCACATACATACGTAGGCATTATGTATGTACTTCATGCGTTCGTACGTACGCGGAGTCAGCTACCAGTAACTTGGGCAACCGCACTTGTCTTCGCGGAAGGCTTTAGGGAACCCCTGGGACCCAGTTTTCCTTTGGTGTCCCTTCAAAGTGACCCCAAAACTGGTATCCCAACAAAGGCGCTCAAATCCAGCTTGATCAAAGCACACACACACAAGAACAACAAACCCCAACACCCCCCAAAGAAGATCTGCCTGTATTGCAACGACCGATCGAAACCGTATTCATTGAAACTCAAAATGTAAAATATATTCAAAAGACTCCGGCGAGGTCCCAGTACAAATCGACCAAAGTAACCATATACCCAGGATTGAAAACTGTCTTTCCCCCTTTTCATTAATGAACCTGTAGTAAACTCGAGTCAAAGAACCGATTCAAACAAACCCCTTTAGACTTAGGGTAAGATCTTGAGCTGACGGCAACAAATCGCCGCCCTTGGTGAGTTTTACCAAAAGCAAACGGAGATGTCCGGTTTCAGATTCGTGTTTTTGTTTTAAACAAATCCATGTTTCCATTGTCCAAGGATATGTTTTCGATTCGGGATGTACGCCCATTTCCATTTCCTGACTGGTTCTCAGGGAATGAGTTGGGACGAACCTCAAACAAACACCTCCATCTTCAATGGGTTTTTACTTTTTTTCGGGGATCCCAAAAACCGGTTCAATTCCCAACCCCCGGGTCCCCTATCGCTCCCTTATCGCACTGGCCTCATGATTTTACCATGGGCAAAGTCACCTAAGTGGTGGGTTAAAGGGAAACAAACCCCATTTCTGATAATGACCATGATGTTAACCCCATGATGTTAACCCCATGATGTTAACCCCATGATGTTAACCCCCAGCAACCTTCAAAATCATGACCCCTGCCCCATCTCATCTCAGCGTCATGAGCGCCATGGCCTCCGCGCTGCGGCCTGAAGACGTCGGAACTCGGACGTGGCTTCGGACTCGGAGTCCGGTGGGTGTAAGTTGGACACCCGAGGGATATGTTTTGTGTCCAGCTCCCTTAAAAACCGTGGTGCGTGCATATAAGTTGGAAACCCCCGCGAGGGGTTGATTGCTTTTTTTTTGGGGGGGGGCCTCAAAAGGAGGCCCCCTTTTTTGTGTCCAGCTCCCTTGTTAAGGACCCAAAGGCATCTTCTGTCGTTGTGATCATGTGTTTTTTCCCCCAAAAGCTGAAGGCTGAAGGCGTTTTGGGGTAACAAAAAGGGCGGGCGAGGGCTCCGGACATTCGGCTTCAGTTCTGCGGCTACCACCGGGGCACAAAGGACACACCAGTACCCTTTTCAAGGTGGAAGCCAAAGTGAAACCAACCTCTTTTTGTTGGGGGGATTTCTCACTCTGAGACGAACCCATGTGCCTAAAAAGTACCATGATGATGATCAAAGAAATGACAATGATAATAAGCTCTTGCCGTGCCAATGTGCTAATGGCAGCATCCCGAGTACAACAGCAATCAACATCATATCACATTGATTTCATTGGCCCAACACAGGAGTGTGGTCTTCACAAAGGCTTCAACATCCAAAACGGTACTCTGATGAACAAAAGGTCGTGTCTGAAAGCGATGGGGCTAAACAGGATTCATGCATGGTTGTGTCTGCGTTTGTTTGGATATTTTTTTCAAGGATGCGGATACGTGGCACTCAATCAACTGCGCCCCGAAAATTGGGGCAGTTCAATGGTGAGCGATTCTTTCCTCCTCAATCAAGCAAAAGCTTTCCTGACTGTAGTGAAAATGGCTCGCAACCGAAACAAAGGCATAAAGAGCGCAAGCCTTCATTGCCCCTCTTGTGCTCATTCCATTTCGGACTGCCAGCCGCATAAAGCCGCACGGCCAGGCCTTGCTTCTGGTAAGCTTCAGCCAGAACTGTCTTTGCCCTGCTGTATGCTGGGTCCTTGGCGGACGCACTTGGCAACAGCAAAACCAGGAGCTGACACGTAACATCTGCGTGATAACAGGCTGTATGTGTGAGCTTTCCACCAATGTAAAGGACAACCCCAAACAAGCCATTAATACATTCAACACACATCTGCACCCACTTGGGGCAGCTGCAGGCGTGGCGTGGATAAATTCATGTCTTAGCCTGTCAGTCGACCTTAAGGAAAGTTGAGGCCACCAGCATCGAGACCGAAAGGACTTTGTTCAAAAGGTCCCAACGAACCCAACAAGCTGACGGCTGTCCCTTTGAAGTGGACTCGTGGCCATGTTACAAGACGCCTCACATGACTAGCATCGAACAAATGCAATGCCTGAATGCCGAACCACTGTCATTAAACACAACACACCTCGAACTTCGCGTAAATTGTCATGGCTAGACTGAAGATAAGGGATCCTGCTGAAAGAACCTTCATCGTGGGTGTCGTCGCAACCTATACTTTGCCCAAATGCCGATGCGATTGAACGACGGCAAAGGTTCCTCACAAGCAGCACCAGCATGCACATCACGCTACATCCTGGCATAAACCAAACAAAGGCCCAGCAAGGTCATGCAAGTGTCAAGCCCATCCAAATGATGGGGTTCTTGCGTAAAAAACACTGGCATCTAGCAGAAAACAAAAACGGGCCCTAGTGGGTTGGGCTGGTCGCATTTAGACGAATCTTGCAGCCCAATTCCCAACTTCAAACATCTTCAAGCACATTTGGGTGTGCGTCGAAAATCGGGGGCGAGACCCTTAAAATGGTGGATTTCCTGGTGATGTCCCTTCAAAGCCACGCCAACATCCTCAAAAGAAGCACCAATGCTGATCCCAAATTACTAAACCCCTGGTTTATTTAACAGGGGTCCCATTTTAATTGTTGGATTTAGACCACTTTTGCAGGCAAACCCCTCAATATTGGAGTTTATTAATACGTGGGTGTTCGGCCAAGGTCGAAATAACCAAGGTTACAACGCACTTAAAAGTCCCCCTAAGTGGCTAACCACCTTGCTGGTGCTTAGGGAATGTGGCAATGAACCCAGAAAGTCTCTTAGAGGACCCCACCCCCACCAGTTGGATGGGTCATTCCAATTCTCATTCCCTGCATCTCTCGCACCAGCAAGCCTCTTACTTGGCGAATGGAAGATCCAAGTACCCTCCTCTCCACTAAAATGGCAGCCACCAGAGAAATGGTCCATTTTGAAGGAACACGGTCTTTCAGTGCCCCGAAACGTCAGGTTCCATGTTGGTGGACAGGAGGGTAACCCACCTTTGACCTGAGCTGACCATTGAGGCCGCTGACAATTCTGGCGGCTTCTTTGGCATCCTGGCCGGGCAGGCTCACATAAACCGAGAAGACCTTTTGAGCGGAGAAGCAACACATATGGGTCTGTCTGTTTTTGAAGGTGCCCATTGTTTGTGTTGATTATGTTTCTCATTCCTGATTTTTCACCTTGTTCGGAGGGAGGGGGGGGTGAACAAATGGTCTTATTCCAAGGGTGCCCGTTGTTTTGCGGTGGCCTAAAACGACACCAAAAGGAAAACGGAAATTCATTTTGCAGTCGCCCCCTAAAAGGAGAAGCACAGTCTGCACAATGCCAACCTTTCAGATCAACCGAGTTGTGGATCTTGGGCAACATTCTCAAGCCGATTGACTAAAATATAGTATGCTCTCTGTTCCTCATGTTGGTAAAGTCAGCGATGTAGCTTTGTGTCCGTGAGGAATTGACTCAATAGGATAACCTCCGCTGGGCATCATTTAGGAATGTCAGCCGAACATTGGGGTGCTTCGAACCTATAGGTTCTTCTTTCCCACTGAGCGAAAGGAGAATCAACTTGGTGGACCAGCCACTTGTTCCCAACACATCGGTCTCTCCGTTTTGGGCTATTCGGTGACGCCAAAGACCAAAGATCCAAGCAGAATCCGTTCAAATCCATCTATTTTCAATACCACCGCTCTCAAAAGGAAGCCGAACCGCTATCCCCAGTACTCCAGCAAGATCCATGAGTGAGATCCTATCCCCAGTACTCCAGCAAGATCCATGAGTGAGATCCTATCCCCAGTACTCCAGCAAGGTCCAAGAACAAGATCCAAACATCCAACATCTGCTTCAAGGTCTCTCCTATGCCAAAGACATCTGCTTCAGCCATCAGTTAAACCTCGCGGATCTCAGGCGAGCCATAGTATGCGACCAGCCACTTTCTGGGTGGGTGTTTGTGGGCTTTTGTTGGGCTTTTTGTTTTTTCAATTGTGGTTCTTGGTTGGAAACCTACTTTCCCATTTTTGGTCTTTCAAATCTGTTTTTTAATACTTGCCTCGCGTCCTGAGTGGACCAAGAATGTCCGAACTTTTTCTTCGCCACTCAAATGGCAGCTGGAACCCAGGGAGTAAGCTACCTCCCCCTCCCTGCCGACCCCATGATACTTGGAGAGCAGCTATGTTACTCCTACATTACCTTTTGGTGGGAATGGATTTCTATAGGCGAAGCCCACCCAAAGGGAAAGCAACAACAAGGGGGAAGCCTTGCAGTTTTGCAGGGACAAACCGAAATTTACCCTGGACAAGAGACACGGACCCGTTTAAATCCAAATCCAAACCACCAATCCTAATCCCCAAATGCGCTATGGGACTATCCCTACCCCCCCCCCCCCCAAACCATCCAATCCAAAAAACCTACCCTTATCCCATCCCCAACTCATGGTTGCCCTCATGGCTGCCTTGGTACCCTCGTGAGGCAAATGGAAACACACCAACCCCCCAAAATCCAACCACCCACTAAGTATAAAACACCAAATTTAAGTAACTATAATTCTAATCCCAACCACCAAAACCTCACTGGGGAGACTTGCGGCTTACCCGAACTAGCCCAAAAGTGACACCCATGGCAAGAAAACGAAAAGAAAGCAACAACGAGCCACCCACGGGGGAAAGCCGCGGCTTCGATTCCCAACCACCCAGTATAAAACCAGCAAAGAAGTATACCAATCCCTGCAAAATGCCCCAACCCCTAAATCACCATTTTCGAGCCGAACCAGCCTGAAAACAAGGAGCCATCACACAAACTGATAAATCACCGGGGAGACACCGGAACTGGCCTTAAAAAAAAGAGGACACCTATGGCAAAAAGCAAAAACAAAAACGAGCCACCCATCGAGGGAAAACAGAAAGCTCACTATAGGGAAACCGCCCACTCAGCTAAAAACCACCAACATGAAGTAAATATAGTACTAGGTCCAGTAGAGAGGTTATATAGAATAAGGGTACCACCTTTTTTCCGTAGTCTATGATAGTAGGGAACCCCTCCCCACAAAAGGGTAAAAGGGTACTACTGGGACACCTAGAGTTTACAAAAACCAAGTACCCTCCCATCCACTGACATAGCACCTGTGGCAGGGTACGTGGAAGATCAGTTTCCTCTCAAAGGACCCCCTGTCAGGTGCCATGTTAGTGGGAGAGAGGGTGTATAATACCCCAACGACAAGCACCCACAAACCAAACCCATTAGCTGGCAAAAAGTTAAAGTCCTGACAGCCAAGCAAAGTGCACCCAAGTGTAGATGCTTGCTCGCTTACAATGAGAAGCAACAGGGACAAGGTGTCCAGCAACAATTTGGTCAAAATTAGATGGCGCAATTCCACGCAAGCTGGTTTCGTCCTCCTCTTTCCTTCCACAAAAACAAACAAACTAAAACTGCGCCATCTGTTTTTCGCCCCAGTAGAAACCACCGGTTTCGGAAACCGTCACCGGCTTCCGCTTCCCCTTCCCTCCGCCTGCTCCGCCTCTTGGGCGCTGCCGACGCCCAGCTGCGCCCGGGCGCGGTTCACCAGCGTCACCGCCAGCTCGCGCTGCCGCGCCCGCGAGGCGACGTCCTGCGGGGCGGACGGGCTGGGGCTGGGGGAGGTGGGAAGGGAGGGAGGCTTGGGGGGGGGGGAAGGGAGGGGGCATGAAAAATATCTTAGATGTTTGCGTTTTTTGGAGTGGACGACTTCGTGGAGTGGCCGAGGACGGACCAAAACTCATGGGGGTTTTTTGGGGGGGAGGCTTGGGGATGCTTGGGGGGAGGGGGGGACACGAACAAATCTTTTACATTTGCGTGGTTGCCTTTGACTTCGCGTCTTTTTGGTGGCCGAGGACGGACCAAAGCTCATGGGGGCTGCGGGGGGAGGCTTGGGGGGGGGCATGAAAAATCTTAGAATTGCGTTTTTTGGAGTTGACGACTTTGTGGACGGGGGAAGCGGGGATGTGGGGTGGGTGGGCGGAAAGGGTGGGGGGGGAGGCTGGGTAGGGAAACGGGGTGTGGGCTGGGGGGTGTTGGGGGGTGCGAGGACTTGGAAAGGAAACCAGGTCTGAACGTCTAAATTTACCCATCCCTGCTTCCTCTGCATCCCTGCTTGTTTGTTTGTCTGATGGACGAGGACCAAACCTCATGGGGGCTGGGGAGGGAGGCTCGGGGAGGGAGAGGGCCCCCATGAAAGAATCTCAAGATTGTTGTTTTTGCACCCTGGAAAAAACATCAGAACATAACTCCATTGGTGAAGATTCCCCTTTAAACCAAAAAGGGGAAATATAAAATACTATTCAGCACATGCATGGAAGACAACCAATCACAAACATCAGTTTGGGGGCGGCACCCTGAAAACACACATCCATGTACGAGGAGTCCAAAAATCGACAGCATGGAACAGTCTTCAACAAGCCCAAAAGGAATTATACACTTAAGGTCGGTCCCTGCATCTTCCAGCTTTGCGCAGGTTACTGGAAAAACGACCATTGTCCCCACTCTAAAAAAAAGGCTTCCGGAGCGAGCCCAAGAGCACACACGCACACACACACACATCCACACATCCACACATGGCTGTGGGTCGAAAATGCGTACCGCAACTGGTAAATGGAACCAAACAGCTACAACCTGCGGTCCGAGTCCTGGTGGTTTTATTTTGACCCATACCCAAATGCGTGGAGAGCGACCGGCCTGATACATGGAAAACGGAGCACATCTGAGGCGCAGGCATCGGCATTCAGAACTGGAGCCTGCAGCTCGTGCCAAATTCTGATGGCTTCCTTTTGGTTTCTGGGAACACCCGCCAAGAGGGGGGTATCCTCGAAAACGGGGGGGGGGTATCCTCAAAAAAACAGCGCCGAATTCTGGTGGCTTCCTTTTGGTCTCTCTGGAAAAACCTTCAAACAGGGGAGGGGGGATCCTCAAGAAAGGGGGAATCCTGAAAAAAGGGGATACAGCCATTTGGTTGGTCGCTTCAGCACATGTGCAGGCCACCAAGAAGGGAGGGCTATAGCTGCAAAATGATAGGCGTTCGTGTTAGGCTTGTTTGGGCAAGGAAATATATGGTGTCCACTGGTTTAGATGTTCTTGCTTAACCAATTTACCAGGAGAATCCATCTTCATCAAAAGGACACCTATGTGCAAGACACCGGTAACAAAAAACCCTAAATGAAGACACACCCAAATAGGACCTTTGGCTGCGGTTGCGTTGGTGGTTCAATCCCAGGCGCAAAATACAGATTGTCTCCAGCTAAATGCATTTCACTCGCGCAAACAAGCTGACTGCCAATCTACGGCGAGCTTCTTAGCGATAATTCATTGAGTACTGACGTGGAACAACTTATAAAACGCAAACTGACTTTAGTTTGTCAAAGGCAGTGTAGCATGCATGCATTCTGTCAGTGTTTGACTGTTGCACATGTGTTGCACGTTCAGCTCTTCCAGGGAGTCTGCAAATGCCAATTTATATATATATATATATATACAACACGCCAAGACTAGAGACCCTCTTGCGCATGCTGACATCAAAAAACATGAGCATGAGAGGATACCGGGATCCGGGATCCGGGCCAGGAGAGAAGCCTAGTAAGGTGTCTGGAAGCCAAACCCGCTGTGTGGGTGTGGCAACCAAAATTAGACAGGAGGAGTTACACAGGTTTTGGTCCATGTTTCTACTTACTGGGGTTCCATTTTGGAATTCCGGTTCCTTGAGCCGTGAGCCACAGCCGTGTCCTATAGAAAAGAGACGTCGCCACGAGCGTACTTGAGGAATTGCCGCTCACCTGAAAACTACCCGCAGCTTGCCACTAAAAGTTGCATGGCTGGAGTCTGCTGCAGATGTGGTGAACCTTAAGATGTAAAACGTTTGCCCCTGAACATCAGTAGACCGGTCGGTTGTATTTTTGGCACCTTCACTCAACCTGGATCAAATAATGCAAAATCAAAGGGTCAGATGCTTGGTTTTGGGGAGAAGTGAGAAACCCTGAGGGTTCTTGTATTACACCCTGGGATTACTCCCTTGGGAAATGACCCAGAATGGCTCAAAACAAAACACGGTTTTATCCGGCAATGTGCCTAAATGGGGTCAATACCAGAGGGTGTATTGCCAGGGTGTAATACAAAAACCCTTAGAGAAACAGGACCCGGACTTTTGCCTCCTCTAAGAGGCGATAAGCTTCTGTGAAGGCGACCACCGCCTGACAAAAGCTGAGCCGAGAAGCTGGAAGCAAAGGCTTCTGAAAATGCGGCCGACTCGAAAAAAGGAAACCCAAAATGGGGTGGGGGGTTCTCATGAGTAGGCCCAAAAACATGTAATTGTTTGTTTTGCCACTGAATAGGCTAAAAAACAAGATATCTTTTTATTCACCATTGAAATGGTCCCAAGAAAGTATACAGTTCAGAAACTCAGAGAGATTCATTTCCTTGAGGAGTCCCACCTATTCCCAAACTGCCCCGAACCCCCCCCATTCGGCCCCTTGCTCGAATCACACATGTTCCTCAAGATGTCTGAGGGACCCGCAGTCAAGTTCAATGAAACATGTCACCCCAAGTTACCCTTCCTGCCACAAACATAGCACCCGGGAGGGTCCCTGGAAAATGAATTCCTCTTTAAGGACCCCCCTGTCAGGTGCCAGGCTAGTGGGAGGGAGCGTATTTGAACGGGGGCCTTGGTCGTCCTGCCCCAGCTCGGCAAAGAAGACCTCGAAAACATATTTATGATCCGCGTGGCTCATGCAATCTCACCAGGGATTGGCGCACTCGGAGCAAACCAAACACAAGATGGGCGCGCTTTAAGATAGCCGGCCGCATGTTGCGTATCAAAATGACCAATACTCACTTCCGATCGACTGGGCTGGCCCAACAAATACCCACAAATGTTGTTTGCCACTAATGGTCTTGGTCTTCTCCAAAAATGACTACAGTCCGTGAACGCAGGAAGTGACCAATACCTCGACCCTCAACTCTGTCTGCGACGCAACGCGACATAGCGCGGGTTTCCTGCCCAGTTCCCTGCCAGGTATGTAGGGAACTGGGATCAGCCTTCGAAATTTCACGAGTGGATTGGCTCGCGAAAGTCCAGGAACTGTTCGTTTACCACCAAAATGACCTTCCCCCCCACAAAAAAACACAAAAAAATCTGGGAACTCGGGTAGTGAGCTTTTGTACGGCTTGTTTCACCTAAACCATTCGGGCTGCGGGGTGGTTGTTCATGACTTGATCTGGCAGGTGCGCCTTCGGAAAATCTCCCCGACCAAAGGCCTGGACGCCTGGCACTTCGAGGCTTGCGATGGGATCGCCCCTTCCGAGTTCCGATTTGTTCTATCTGATTTGTCCACACTTTCGCACATCATTTGGGCATGAGTGAAAAATTAAACCACCAGGGGTCCGCAGGTTTTAGTCTTTGGTTCCATTTTACCAGGGTTCCGTTTTGGGTACTGGCCAAACAAAACTGACATCCTACATGATCGGAGTAACTTTGAACGGACCAGGCTGCTCCTTTGGAACATGTTCATACGAATGGCTGCACTTGGTGATACGCAGCGGCAAGGTCTTTCTAAGACAACTATAGATTGATAGCAACTCCCCCTGCCCCAAACAAATGATATGTTGCATCCCGCATGCAATTGGTTGGCAGCATGACTGGCAGAATGGTCCTTTAACTTTTGACAGCTTAGTGGGAAATGGTCATTTTGCCAAAAAACTAAAGGGATCCAACCGAACAGCAATCAAAATAAGGGTATGGGTCTGGCTGACAAAAAAAACAACCTCTGGTTCGACTCACTGCACACAAGCAGTGAAGAAAATGCGCACGCGAAACAGCATGGGGCAAGCATGATCCTGTCCAAACAACATGATCCTAATGAGAACATTTCACACGGCTCTAATCGAGGTCCTCTAGTAGAGAGATTCGAATAAGACTACCCATTTTTCTGTAGTCGACTTTAGTAGGGGAACCCTCCCAACCAAAAAAGGGTGAGAAAGGGCACCTAGCTGGTGGACCTAGTAATGCTATACTGGGCATCTTTTCGATGGCCTCAAGCTGATCTTGCCATGGAGCAAAAGTGCCAACATAGGCACTACCGACACAAGACTCTGAAATGATTCCGCCACTCGGTTGCTTTCTTCTCCCTTCCTAAAAGTTTAACTTCTAGTGATTTAATGGACAACCCAGTTGGCAAGAAGTTAAAGTCCTAACATCCAAGCGAAATGCACCAAAGGCCATGTTCCGTGTCTAATTTCTCGGTTTTCCCAAATCTCACTTGCCGTGGAAACGCCATCGCCGAAGACCCCGCTCGGTGAAGGAAAACGTCTGAGAGACTGAGCAATGCCCGTTGGGATGTGTCAATACTAAGAATTCGTTTAGGGGCAGTGCTAAACACAACACAAATGACGTTTTGAAAAACAACTTCATGTTGAACCCGACGTGTTCAAACATCCATTTCGTTGTGAATCCGACATAGGCCAAATTGCAGGGATCCCTTTCACACCTTTTTTGTACAAGTGCTTCTGCACAAAACTTTTCTTTTGGTCTCATGTTGTCTTAAAACAAACAATCGGGAATCCGACCAAAAACGATTTCCCCGCCTTCATGATTCAGCTTTGTAGCGGTTGGCTCTGGCTTCTCGTCTTCCTGTCCAACCCAAAAAACAAAATTCCTCGCTGTCCGGGTGGGCCACTCACCTTCCATTTCCTTAAATCCGCCCCCCTGGAAGAAATGAAAAACACATCAAGTAGTGAAACCAACGAGGGAAAAATAACACAAGACTCATTTCAGCAAATGGAAGTAGCATACTGCCTTGGCATAGCCACAAGGAATCGGGACGTGAGCATGTTTCTCTTGGTATCCGCAAATCACCACCCTCATAGTTAGAAATGAACCGTACAACCCACTTTGCCGTCGCTATACAAGGGGTGTATCTCCCGCGTTCCCCTCCGGTGAGTGATTGGAAGGGGGTAGTGGGCGTCAAATTTGGAAGCGGGGTACCCGGCAACCAATTTCCCCAAGTGCAGCGTGCCCACGGAAGAAGCTACTGTTTGTTTCCCAATTTGTCTACAAGTTTTCGCACCCCCCCTGGGTGTATTAGATATATAGTTCCCAACGGATCGCATAAGAAAATGGTACTGTAAGGCCTGAATAATCAGAATGGGGTTGGTCTTTTAAAACAACATTTGATCACAGCTACGAACATGTCTTTCGTTCTTCGTATTAAATCGCCCCCTCGAACAATTAATTGTGGGATTGTAATATTGCAATGCCAGCAGTCATTGCGGCTGCCTCCATTTGCTTCAGCCCACGCGAAGATATAACTTCCAGTAGTCATGGACTCCCTCTAAAAGCCAACTGGGGAAAATGCAACATATTAAGCAAATGGCCACCTGGAAAATTACGACGCCTTCCGCCGGCCTCGTCTTTGCTCTCCTCATCTTTGCCCGCGATCGCCCTGCGGCTGTCCATCTCTACTCTTGGTATGGTCTTGCGAAAAGCTGACTGCTTTTTCCAGACCCCCAGTGAAAATGAACAAAACCGAAAAAACTAAAAAAACTAAAACATGCCAAGAACAGTGAAGTTTTCAGTCGCTTTCGGTTTTTCCCATTGGATTGGGATCCCGGGATCAACTGAGCACCTGCTGAGCGAGTCCCCCAAAAAGAATCTGCCAGGAAATCCGCCAACTCAAGGGCTAACCTAGTGCGCATTGACATGAAAAAGGCGTCGTTTTTGCTGGTGCCATGCTTCTGCGGTAGCTGACACAGGGATCCGGATGCATGAAAACACCTGAACATTGCAACTTGTAAATGGTGGTGTCCCTTGATTTTGGTGTTGAAAAAACAAGATGTTTCAAATGGTGGCAAAATGGAGATCTTTTAAGGAGCCCTGTGACACGAAAGGGAGTCAACCACATCCTTGGGGGTCTCCTAAAACAAACACCCCCCATTCTTCGCAACATCTGTGCCCTTTTATCGGGCCTGAGCCATCCCAAGCTTCCAAGCCAGCACCCATGAGACAAACCCAGTGCTCAGAGTCTCCTACGTTTCTCGGTTGATTTCTGCTCCCCTGCCAAAATTGACTAATTTTTAGTGGTTTCATACGGACAACCCATTAGTTGGCAAAAAATGTAGTCCTAACATCCAAGCAAAATGCACCAACGGTTTCATGTCTCATCACATGGCACGTTTACTCCAAATCCTTCGGCCAGTCCAACAACGAGACCCCATTTTTTTCTAAGTCCTCCAGTAGAGAGGTTCGAATAAGGGCACCAACTTTTTTGTCTGTAGTCTATTTTAGTAGGGGAACCCTCCCAACCAAAAAAGGGCAAAATGGACCTACTGGGGGACCTAGTGATGCTCTGATACGCTAAGCCGATGATGTGGCAACAAAACCCTCCGTGCGAACGCGTGTTGAGCGGCTACAAACTTAACCATCCTGGCCCTTGAGCAAACTCTCAGAATAGCTAACAATTGTTCAAAGGCCAAACCATGTCTGATGTGGACAAACGGAAAATGTGGGCAGCGCTGTGGCCTGGTTTTGCTTGGTATCATTGTGCCCTTTTTATCAGAAAAAAAAACAACAAAAAAACGCATGTACATATGGGACATCAAACAAACAGCGTGCCAGCCAGCAATTGGTTTCATTACGTATGGCGTCTAATGGTTGCCGGCGAGCTTTCGATTTGACTATCAGGTCCTGTAAATTCCTTACTCGTTTGCAACGATTGCCAGCTTTATCCGTTGATTCGTGGCTTCGCTCTGTATCAGTTTGCAGGTTGTCCAGACCTGCAAACTGACTTAAGGAACGGGGCCCTTGTATAGATCACGATTGGGCGTGGTTTTTGGGTTCGACCCGTGTGGTTGTCTGCTAGCACTTCGCATCACATCCATGCTGCGTGGGCCGGCCTATCGCCAGCCATATGTTAAGATCCAACTGCAAATCAATATCCGCAAGTGCATAAGCTGCATGCACGCTGATGACTGCGAGGTGAGTGTACGACTTTTTGTGTCAATCCTCACAGATTGTCAATTCTAGCAAATGTTTCCCAATGCATGGAGAAAATAACGCTATACATAGTATGCAGTCATACATCTAAACATGTTGAACATGATTGAACCTACGAATACCCTTTCACTTTGTCTCCTGCTGTTGCTGATGGCTGTCTGGTTTGTGTGAACAATCGACCATTATTGTCATCATGCAGCTGCTTGGAAATTGTAGTTCGTCAGCTTGAGCCACGACGCGCAAAGCCATGCAACCGTGACTGCATCTTCTGACCTTCACAGCGCGTCGGCGCGTGCACAGCAGTAAAGCGCCATTTTCATCCTCTTGTGCAGGGAGACCACGAGCAAGCAAGGAAACGAGGAACACCGCATCAAACAATACCGCAGACAGTGCTACATTCTGCACCAACAGCTTCCACATTGGAAACGCGCCTGGATCTCCTGATCCTCAAAAGATCGTTTCTCAAGGTCAAGGGTAGCGAGCTTTGCCACGCGAAGATGGATGGAACGGTCACAAAGAATAATTCAACTGCGAAGAAATGACTCATGACACACACGAACCTTCAGAAACTTCGATGTCCACCCCAAACCATTGCGTCCACATCTAGACCAAAGTTGAATAATGTTGCTTTGCAGCTCCATCCACGTTGCACACTCGCGTAAAACGCCTCAACCCGCGGACTCCGTGATGAGATGTTCCTGTCACGTGGAATGAGGGACAACCCCCAACTCCTAAAGCAAGTACTTTCAAAGAAAACATTGCACAGAGCATCCCAAGCTGGCCTCCAAAGCACGCACGTTCGGGAAGTCGAACACCAGCGAGGGACTGAGGGCCATACCAAACTCCTGCAGGCACCACGTTCACAAAAAATCGGTCAGTGGACGAGCTAAGCAAACCAGCCTTCGACAACATACTGGTGAGCGACACACTGGACAAACCTTGGCAGTCACTGTGCAAGGCTCATCGGTTGTTGTGTGTAGCCTCAGCGCTGGGGTCTGGACTGTCCATGCCTGCTTCCATGAAAGGGCTGTCCACTTCCAGCTCTCCGTCGTCTGCCTGAGTGGTCGTTCATCATTTTTGGGCCGCCCTGCCCCCCCCCCCCCAGCTCCCGCGGCGGTCGGCGGTCTGCGCGTGGTTTGTCTCGCTCCGCACAAAAGCTGAGGCTGTTGCAATGGCGTCCCTGACCAACTTCATGACGGTTTTCCTGCGCGGTACATCTGCGCACGGGAAATCTGATAATCTTTCGACTCGTTCTTAGCATCTCACTGGTCAGGCAAGGTCCAATCTGTTTCTTCTGGACCACCAACATCCAAAACCTACATCTGTTGATTACGAACGGCCGAAAAATCCCTTCAAAAGTCCAAACGCACGTCAAAACCGGACCTCTTCTGCGGCTCGCATCCCATGCCAAGAAAAAACACTCGAAACACGTGGCCACCCAGTGGCCTCACCATTGCGGGGTCTAGACCTGACATAGAAAGCCGGCACAATCACTGGTTCAATTTACGGGTTGTTTCGTTTGGAAAAAAGGCAACTTTGGGAGGGTCAAGACTCCAGAAAAAACCGCCCCCTGAAAAAACACGCAAAAACAAACACAGTTTGCTGAGGAGAAAAGCTTCAAAAGGGAAGTGGAGGCCCATATTGTTGACTAGAGTTGACTGGTCACAATTCTGGTCACAATTCTGGTCACCTCCGACTCAGGGTCAGAGTGGGTTCATTTTGGTTGGGGGGATAAATCAGAAAGCAACACAGAAGACTAAAGTTTGACGGTAGGTTAAATTCATGTCCACCAACCACTCGTGAGGTGGTCGCACCTGTTAAGTTCACAGCGCTTCTTGCGCAGGCGGCCCAGGAGTGGCCCACAGCTCTTGGAGCACTGTAAGTTAGAGGAAACTCGAGCCCCAAAATCCGAGCTCCTGTTAAACAAACTCTAGTTTTCGCATCTAAGGATGGTCAAGCAACAAACTCTGATTCACACTCTCCGCAGTTTGTGAGGGGAAGTGGGCGTTGCTCTCGCATTGGCTCTTGGCGAGACCTGCTCGTGGCCCACTGGCCCACTGGCAATGGGCAAAACTTTAACCTCTCCCATCGAGTGGGTTGGCCAAATGGAAAAGTGAAAGTCCATGAACTCAGGAAGTGACACACTCAAGGAATGTCCCCTGGTCGCTTTTGGCTTTCCTTTGGGCCCGGCGCTTCGCGCTCCCATCGCTTCGCTTGAATATCCAAGCAACCGCAACCCTCCATGGAGCAGGGAAACCCTTTGTCTATGGGGCTGCAACGGGAACGTGAACTGGGCAAATGGCTCATTGAACCGACAATAACTAGATTCTCCAGTAGACAGGTTAGAATAAGTTGGTACCTTTTTCTTCTGACCCTCCCTTGCCCAAAAACGGGGTGAGAGGTCGGGCACCAATTGCTGGGGGACCTAGATAACTGTACCCAAGCCACTGCACCAAAACACACACCTTCCAGTACAAATCCCGGAGGCCAACACGCCACTGGTTCTGAGCTAGCCTGCATGGGAGGAGGCCATAAAACCGGCTGCCCATACAAAGGTGCCCAATCAAAGGAACCTTCATGGGTGACATCCTAAACCCCCTGCATTCCCCTGCAAGTGGCGTTGTTCGAATTTCTAGGCCCAGATTGATGGAGCATGGAATCAGGCCGAAAGCGGGAACTGAGATCAGCACCCTTGGGCTGCTCTGCCACCACAGATGTAACAACCTGAGTGGGGCTCTGACTTGCTTCCGGGATCCTGGGATTGGACAAAAGCGGAGATCCGGATCCCAATGCTCCTGATCCAGAAAGGACACCGCTGAAACAGAGCGGAAAAAATGTTCAACCGACTGGCAGCTGGTGTTCTCCCAGCCGCTCTCAGACATCTTTACCTTCCCGAGTTCAGTCACCAGACAGTAGGTCAATAAAGACTGTACTGCCTTATAACTCGGCCTTCTGTCTTGTCCTCATGCAGCCACTGGATTGCTTGCCTTTCTGCTCCTGCCATCTATGCTGGCGGCAGGAGACATGCTTTACTGCTGCACTGCTCACTTCTCATATTTGGAAAAACCACATGTTCCGTACAAGACCTCTTGATGAGCATTTCACGGTCAAACATGCAACTTGCAGCATCAAACTTGCTGGTGCTTGCGCAAGGGAGCTGTTCAACCGACTGGCAGCTGGTAATCTCACGACCGCTCTCAGACATCTTTACCTTCCCGAGCTCAGTCACCAGACAGTAGGTCAATAAGGACAATACTGCCTTATAACTCGGCCTTCTGTCTTGTCCTCATGCAGCAACTGGATTGCTTGCCTTTCTGCTCCGGCCATCTATGCTGGCGGCAGGAGACATGCTTCACTGCTGCACTGCTCACTTCTCCTTTATGAAAAAAACAACATGTTCCGTACAAGACCTCTTGATGAGCATTCCACGGTCAAACATGAAACTTCCAGCATCAAACTTGCTGGTGCGTGAGCAAGGGAGTTGTTCAACCGACTGGCAGCTGGTAATCTCACGACCGCTCTCAGACATCTTTACCTTCCCGAGTTCAGTCACCAGACATCAGGTCAATAAGGACCGTACTGCCTTATAACTCGGCCTTCTGTCTTGTCATCATGCAGCCACTGGATTGCTTGCCTTTCTGCTCCTGCCATCTATGCTGGCGGCAGGAGACATGCTTCACTGCTGCACTGCTCGCTTCTCATATGGAAAAACAACATGTTCCGTACAAGACCTGTTGATGAGCAATTCACTGTCAAACATGCAACTTCCAGCATCAAACTTTCTGAGCGCTCTCAGACATCTTTACCTTCCCGAGTTCAGTCACCAAACAGTAGGTCAATAAGGACCATACTGCCTTATAACTCGGCCTTCTGTCTTGTCCTCATGCAGCCACTGGATTGCTTGCCTTTCTGCTTCCGGCCATCTATGCTGGCGGCAGGAGACATGCTTTACTGCTGCACTGCTCACTTCTCATATATGGAAAAACCACATGTTCCGTACAAGACCTCTTGATGAGCATTTCACGGTCAAACATGCAACTTGCAGCATCAAACTTGCTGGTGCTTGCGCAAGGGAGTTGTTTAACCACCTGGCAGCTGGTAATCGCACGACCGCTCTCAGACATCTTTACCTTCCCGAGTTCAGTCACCAGACATTAGGTCAATAAGGACCATACTGCCTTATAACTCGGCCTTCTGTCTTGTCATCATGCAGCGACTGGGCAGGAGACACGCTTCACTGCTGCACTGCTCACTTCTCATGTATGGAAAACGACATGTTCCGTACAAGACCTCTTGATGAGCATTTCACGGTCAAACATGCAACTTCCAGCATCAAACTTGCTGGTGCTTGCGCAAGGGAGTTGTTCAAACGACTGCTCCGGCCATCTATGCTGGCGGCAGGAAACACGCTTCACTGCTGCCCTGCTCACTTCTCATGTATGGAAAAACGACATGTTCCGTACAAGACCTCTTGATGAACATTTCACGGTCAAACATGCAACTTGCAGCATCAAACTTGCTGGTGCGTGCGCAAGGGAGTTGTTCAACCGACTGTCAGCAGGTAATCTCACGACCCCTCTCAGACATCTTTACCTTCCCGAGTTCAGTCACCAGACAGTAGGTCAATAAGGACCGTACTGCCTTATAACTCGGCCTTCTGTCTTGTCCTCATGCAGCGCCTGGATTGCTTGCCTTTCTGCTCCTGCCATCTATGCTGGCAGCAGGAGACAGGCTTCACTGCTGCCCTGCTCACTTCTCGTGTATGGAAAAAACACATGTTCCGTACAAGACCTCTTGATGAGCATTTCACGGTCAAACATGCAACTTGCAGCATCAAACTTGCTGGTGCTTGCGCCAGGGAGCTGTTCAACCGACTGGCAACTGGTGTTCTCCCAGCCGCTCTCAGACATCTTTACCTTCCCGAGTTCAGTCACCAGACAGTAGGTCAATAAAGACTGTACTGCCTTATAACTC